TTTGACAATATTTGATAAGAGTTCATTTTTGTTTGAAATCGATAAAACAATAAAAGGAGTGGGATTTCCGCCGCGAAAAGTAGCCTACGAAGTGGACAGGTGTTAAACATAAATATGTGCAAAATCGCTTATCGGCCCACACACGAAAGTTTCTGTAAAGAACACACTAACTAGCAATTTATCAACACTCAGCTTTATATATGTGTAGAGGTGTGGCAAAGTTATAGCTCGTCAAAGTAAAATTTGGAAGACGCATTGTCTGCACCATACCGATACTGCCATATTAGGTGGAAGTTTCAGAGAACAGCTGTCAACAATAGACAAACGAAATGTCTAAAAATGCACTCATAATTCATATATCCATGCACGCACAAGACACCTTTTCCTCTTTATTTGGATGCACAAGGTCTTCACATTCATCTTTTGCTGAGCAGAATTGAGGAGAGGCACGCAAAGCCTACAGACTCAATCTTCGTAGCCCATTTTGAGTGGTAAATCGTCTGAGCCGTGATAAAGCACACCATTGTTAAAAAGCTTATGTGTCGTCGCTTTTTCGAGTCTCGTACTTAATAAAAAAAACTTCAACAGTGACCTAGTGGAGTGTTAGCCAGATGTCACTGCGAGTCAATTACGTCTTTTGCAAGTCGCGTTTGCGTTCAGGGCACTCTATTAATTATTAGGTTGGCACATAAGTTTAGCAACTTATCTCGTAATTTTTTTCTTTTAACTATGACGCATTCATTTTTGGGCATAATGTAGACTAGATGGCGTCCCTGGTCCCGCCAGGACAATGGGCTACTTGATCCCAAACGCGTTGAGACTTACCGCTCTTCTCCATATCTGCGGAGAAACCGTGATACGTCTTCCTTGCTGATACCGGATCCTTTTCGCTGGAGAAATGTAAATGGACTTTACCGCCCTTACATGCATGACTCTAAGAAAATGACCCAACAATGGTTGGTGAACCCTCGATGTAAGTAAACAAATCAATAAATAGATTGAAGGGCCCAACAAATCGTCGCAAAAAGTAGCCTATCTTGTGCGCCGTGCCTTATTTATAGGGAGGCGAGTTTTAGCCTCATCGGTTCACACATAAAAGAGTCTATAAGCCAATACTTACTAAAGAACAAATTTACAGAGTTTCGGTTCTATTTATACCTAGATTAGGTAGTAGGCTACTAATATGCTCAAATAAGTTTGTTTTTGGTAGCGAAGTGGAGAAAATTTACGCAGTTTTCGAAAACTGGTCTAATTCGAAATTTCAAGGGTTGGAAAACCAAAAATGAAGCCGTTCTCAATTTGAATCAAACACCTAAGCCAAAACTGTACCCATATTGTAGATAGAGGAATATCTAATGATCTATGAGGTTTCGGCGTGATGTGTTTGATTCAGACTGAGAACGGCTCATGAAGTGGATCAACATGGCGCGTGCCATAAGCATGCGGCTCGACTTGGTTTTGTAGGACTGCTTTTGTACAAGAAAGATATTCTTTTCATATGCTTGCAGGAACGCATCGTTCATTCCACGCTGCCATATCAGTTCTCATAAGTTTGCCTCATGCGTGCCCTCGTAGACATCATTCTTCAGATAATATGCCTTGTCCTTTTCCTATGATGTGTACTCGATCAGCTCATGATGGCTGGTATCACATCTATAAATCTCTTTCGAATGAGCTTCCTCACCGATCACTTCTCATACAAGCAGAATGACCACTTGTTTGATAAATGCATGCTTATACTTTACTGAGGTGAGTTTACTGTAACATGATATGCCGCCAAACAATTATCACAAGTCATGCATCTGGTTGTAAGTATCTCAACGAAGCACTGACGTAAATCTTTACTGTGAGCTATAATTATCAACAAATGCGTGAACAAAGTTATGTGTGAGTCTGCTTGCTTGCACGAAGCTTAGTTTATTAGACCCCATTCCGACTAGCATAGAGACGAAGTGAAGTTCTACTTCATGCTGCGGTTTTCTTGGCCAAACGGAGAGTTCTGATTCCTGAGCCTTTTCCGATACTCCTCAGTTAAGAGAGAGGGCTACGTATGGAATTTTATAGAAGTTGTAATTCTCTTCCTACCTTTTAAATCTCTAATTCTCTTCCTATCTTTTGAATTTCATTCTTGTGGACAACCCTCGGAGATTGTATCTCAAGATTAAGCTTGACTTTTATCGTGGTAACAACCAGATTATTGACGATGATCCTTGTGTTGTGTGCGATTATCTATACAGACATTTTGACAAAGCAACCACATCTTTATCATGCAACCTAAGAGAATCGCCTTTAGAAAAACACTCCTTATTACCGTATGAGGGTACTCTGTGCAACACTTTAGGTTCAACATGCGCATACTCACCGCTGCTCTGTTTGATGGAGGGGCCGTAACAAGATTCCAACAATCAGATAATGTTTTCTCCAAGAACTTATGACTCGGCGTCCAGAAGCACACAGCACATATACCAAAAACAGATTTGAAATCAGCTTGCAATGCTCTTTAAACTGTAAACTCATCTAAAAAAAATTTACCTTAGATAAACACACTTTTTTGTCATTTCAAACTTCTTGTTAGAAAGTGGATTTGTTGCTGATTGTAAGTTCGTTCTTGGAAGACATGAAGCATTTTTCATAGAACATATCTTCTGCATTTGAGTTAGTTCAATCCGCTAGTGTCTATCTGATTAATGATGTCTCATCATGACATCATTGTATGTTTATCTTCATTGCTATGTAGATGCTTTTATTTGGTAAGCCATATATAACTAAATCGTTTGATAACATGAGATGTCACTCCTAAGGTAAGATACCAACTTGATCGAAAAGAAAAGTAAATCACAAGACGCTCCTTCAAACGGTTAAACCTGCTTTCCCTTTTTTGCGGAACAATTCTTCAGAAGAAGTCACGAGTGTTTGAATGTTTATGAAGAAGTTATGAGCGTTCATGCGTCCAAATTTGTTGAGCACTAAGCGGCATAAAATTGTCAAAAAGTTGTACAAAAACATCTATGTTTGTTGCTACTGGCTTTATTCGTTTCCTGTAGGCAATATACTTAAGACTAACTTGATTATCCACTTCCAGGTGTTTTTGAACAGCTTCTCGCTGATTTTATGCCACTTAAGGCTTGGCTAATCTGGACATTCAAATGCTCATAACTTCCGTCGGAGAGTTGTTTTGCAAATAGGAAAGCAGATTTGAAATTAGCTCCAAAGACGCGTCCTAGTATATAGTTCCTTTCAACTTGCCAGATTGAGTTGGTATCCTTCCTTCATCAGGAAAATAAAAGCTTGGCCAACGCTTGTGAACAATGTGAATGCCACGTGAAGCATATGATCATTTGAATCTTATATTAATTACGTGTTTGCGCTCCGTATGAATGATAGACGGTTTGAGAAAAGTTTAAGAGGACATGCTTGTTGGAGACATTTGGAAAAAACGGACCTTCGTTTACGAAACTTTTTTTTGATAAATATCGTAACTGTTATACTCATTGAATTTGCTTTCACTATAGTGCTCATTTTCGAAAGCATTCTCGTTGTTCTTGATTGCAGCTTTTTCCTATGAGCTAGCGTTTTCCATGTCTTTTTTAGAAAAATCCACAAACATCCTTGTGAGATTGATAGAAATACTTCAAAATCACATCTGCATTTACAACTACTCACTATCAAATAGCGTTTTTACTCTCGATGCTTTGAAGCTTTTTCACGCTCATGCTCAACTCGAAAGTCGACTAGTCGTTGAGAACAAGGCCACCCATTAAAGTGCACTTGACGAAGAGCATAGCCTCTACACTCACGCGCACTCAACCTCATGCATTCTGTTTTCAGCTCACATTGCTATTCAGTGCCCTCATTGCAACTTGTAAGTATTATTGTGCTTGATTCCTTTTTTCATTCAAATCGTAAGTGATGATTTAATTTGGAAATGCAACTGTACCGAGTAACATATTGATAAAATTATGAATTCACTACTGGATCCAAGAAATCTCGCTTGGAAAGCAAGACTTGTTCCAAGATATTACTTTCTTACAAGTAAAATTTGTCACTCACACGATAGGGAACATCTTCAGTCTTAGGAAATCCGGATAGAAATCTATTCATACTTTAGATAACATTCAATTACGAATTGTTAGAATTTTCAAAATCAGAAGTGTAATATATCATAAGATTTATCTAGAAATAATGACCAACAATTTATTCAATACAGATGATAACACGGTGGAAACTAACGACTTAAAACGTTTATTACGATCACACGCTAGACGAGGATTATAGGATGACAAGTAGAAGTATAGAAAAAACGCAAGTGTAGGACATGAGTTCGAAACCTTTTACAGATTAATCTAGACCCTTTTTCCTTACGAAGTCCCGGAGAGGGTCTACATCTCAAAACCCCGTCTGAAAAAGGACGAAACGGACTAAAATGTAAAATTATTTTTCTTTGTATTACAACATTCTGAATTTTCTCGACCCGATTTCGCCCCTTTGCCCCAATCAGTGGAATACACCTATAGCTGTACTCCAAGTGTTAGAACATTTGCGGAAAAAAGAGACTATATATCTATGATAAAGATACCATTGAAGACTGGAATTTACAACGCAAAAATTTATGGCAAACCTAGGCAGAATCAAAAAAGTGCTCAGAGAAGGCGACCTTCCCTGACTGTGTTTGGTGAATGATAGCTTTTTGGATGACAGCTTAACACACTTGCTGCTGTATAGAAACTCCAAGAAATCCGATATGCCAAAAAGTGAACTTTTGATTTTAACCAAAGCTAATAAGCAAGAGCTTAAAAACCCAAAGGTAGTTGCGTACAGCCTGTGGTCACCTTGTAGTTAGCATCAAGGCAGATCAGGTACTTGGGTTCTGGATAATTTACGTTGATGAGTATCTCACTTTATGTCCCTGACTCTCTTGAGATAAGATTGAGCTTTCATTATTGCTTCGAAGCGTGATTTCGCAATGTTTTATTCGTTCATTTACTATGTTTATGACAAATCTGATTTAGCTGGGATGCGGTGATGTGGCTCTTCTTACAACTGTTAATGCTGTGGACGGTCGGTGCAGAGGATATGAAGCTAGTGCCTTTGACAAAACAATTTCTGGATAGATTGCGGAATGAATCTTATTACAATCGCTACGCTACGCCTACGCAGTATGATGGTGAATGCTCAGCTTATATTGGTTCTAATAATTATAAATTACTGCAAGAGCAAAAGAGCGTATAAAATGCTCTTGATTATTGGCAGCTATTTTAGACTACGTTCGTGAGCATGGAGCAGGTAAATGTCATTCTTTGCCTCCTAACTGCATTTTGCTCTTTCTTTTCACTGCTTTTTTTGCACTGTTATGCCCACCATTAACATTCTCCTTTCCACTTAACAGTCTTTCACTGTTTGAGTTTTCTTTGCAATGATGGGGGTGAAGATTACCTTCATAGTGTATGGCGGGGTCGCAAAATCATTTCGTTGAGCATGGGCATAATCATTATTTTAAGTTTTTACCCGGGGAAGAAGCTTAGAAAGCTTGATCATTCTTGGTGATCTGGGTTATCGTGTTGAGAAATGATGTGCTAAGTGAAAGTGCGGTTGTTGATGTAAATAAGTTACATATGTTATGTTGCTCCAAAGATGACGTTCCTCCAATTTGTTGCAAGTAAGCTTTTTTATTATGACACATATTTTCAATTGATATATTCTAGAGCGAAACTGGCTAAATTTCAGCAGTTGGTACCAAAAGTCACGCAGCATAGTCCACCATAAGTACCGTAAATTTTTTAACTTGCTCTTTCTGACGACGAAAATTTTTGTTCATCGTATGTTTTTTACAACATACTTTCGAGAGATCTGCCGGAGTTGGAGAATCAATTTTTTGCCATACATTTTCAAAACTTACTTTTTGACAGAAATATTACATCAGAATCCAAAAAATAGCTAACATCACTGAAGCTATAATAGATGGCGAAAGCATAATAGCAGCATATGCGGAAGTGTGGATATGCGCAATAAGATATTATCAGTTTTATGTCAGCTCTAAAATACAGTCCCATTTGGGATCAAGCCGGACCGTCGGCTAGATTTGCGCGCTCGCAGCGCTACGGGTTTGCGCTGCAGTCGTAGAGAGCGAAGAAATTGAGGAAAGAGCAGACTAGCTAGCCATAGTGTGGCGCAATACGCTCGCGACACGTAAAGGATATTCGTCGACGACTGCCCCGACTCGTGCAATCACACCATCGTGGGCGCGCATTTTGGGACCCTTTCCAGCTTGATAGTACGCTGCAGCGCGCGGAGACTTGAGAGCTCGCAGCATCCTTGTCCTATAATCTCTTTCGTCTGTTAGACATTTCACATCGCTTTTTTTCTTATTTTTCGTTCCAGGCAATTACACACTTTAATGACTATATGAGACCATCGCCGCGGGCAAAGTTAGAAGAAAGTTGAGCTTTCTTCCTAGTTGCAGTGGTGGTTATCATGGCATGATTAGAATTGCATATTTTCTTCGATGTTTTACAATGATTTGACATGTTTCTTAGGACAGACCATGCTTCAGCACTCTTATAGCAGGGACACCATGTGGGAAATAAACATTCGGGTGATCTCATGTAAGGAGATGCATGATAACCATTATTACTCATGAACAAAGCACATGTTTCCACCTAACTTTGCCCGGTGCGACAATCACGACTTTGAAAATGGATGTTTCGTACGTAAGACGGGGGAATAATTCAGGAAATGTGCCCAAGTAATTCTTCTCTTACTTTCCAGTATTCAATGAAGTAGAACGTAGGATATTTGATCATCAAAAAAAACTAAAAGAAAGGGAAAACGAATAACTGCCTAAATATAAAAAGTAAGAAGAAAAAACGATATGAAATGCTCAAATTAAGATAAAGAGATTAAAGGCAGTGTTGCTGCGAGCTACTGAGTCCCAGCGCGCTGCAGGTACTGTCTAGCTGGGAAAGGCTCCAAAAAGGCGCGCCTACGGTGGTGTAATTGCACGAGTCGGGGCAGTCGTCGACGAATATCCTTTACTCCCGCCATGCCCATATTGGCCTGGTTGGAATTGGGGCAGACTGCACTCACGAATGGCAGCAATTGTGCAGATTTTGCCGTCCTGATCTGTAAAGAAAGTAGGCCCGTAGTAAACCCCCTCTAAGCGCAACTCGGCTGGGGGCGGGCCTACGGTAAACGTAGAACGATTTAGCCCGGCGTCCAGCGAGCTATTGATCAGGCTGCGGATTGCTTTCAAGATCTAAAGATCTTGTGCGTTGTCAAAATGTTCAGGCTTGAGTGGGAGTGGTCGAGTGGCAAAGTGTTTAGGATTCAACGCGCGGTGCCATGGTTCGAGGACGCCTAGCGGCGAATTTTTACGCCATCGCTGGGTAGTCTATGACGGCCGCCATATGAATCGATGATGACCGCTACCAAGGATATCACCTAGCAAATGGACAGAAAAAACAAAACAAACGTATTTTGACGAAGATTTCATGAAAAACTGAAATTTTTTGAACAAAAATAGAACGAAATAAATAAGGAAATCTCGTATAATGCAGCTACTTCAAAAGAACCAAGCCTGCTTCGCAAAAAAGAAGAGAATTATATTCTTGCTTTCCTCGCCGCAATCAGCTGTTCATCGATCTCCTCCCATTTAGGCCTCCGAAATCGTGCAGTTTTGGAAGTTTTGCACCGCAAGAACACGTCGACCGAATTTTCCCGTAGTTACTCACGAGCAACTTACGGGAAATTTGTCTGATCCTCCTCTTAAGCACACTATGGCCCGTAGTAAACCCCCATTCATCTCAGGTGACTTGAGATTTGCCATTCAGAAGAACTTCCCCGGGTGACCCTAATCCCGCCCACCTTCCCGTGCCTTAGGATAGTCAGTTCAGCAGTCAGAAGACTGTCTGGTCAAGTGTCACAGTCAGTTCACCAGAATGCCACTTATCCGAGGTTGAATTTTAGGGTGACCCGAGAGAAATAGTGTGCTTAAGAGGAGGATCAGACAAATTTGTCGTAAGTTGCTCGTGAGTAACTTACGGAACAATCTAGCCGACGTATTCTTGCGCTGCAAAACTCCCAAAATTGCACGTTTTCGGCGGCCTAAATGGGAGAGGATCGGTGAACAGCTGACTGCGGCGAAAAAACGAGAAAACAGCATTTCTTGGATTTCTTCTTTTATGCAAAGCTTGACTACGTTTTTCCTTCAAAAACTGCTTGAAACAAGGATTTTTTGATTTTTTTGAAATTTGCTCTATGTTCAAAAATTTTCGTTTTCCATAAATTCCTCGCCAAAATGTGGTATTTTTGCTTTATCCATCGTTTGCTTGACGATATCTTTAACAGCGGTCGCCATCGATTTTTTCGATAGCGCCCGCTATCAAAGATTGTCATGCAATGGCGCAAAAATGTGCCACTAGCCGGCTTTGAACCATGGACTTTCTCATTGAAACCCATGCACTTAGCCTCTCGACCAGACCACTCAAGGGGTTCATTTTTTGAGAACGCACAAGATCTTTGGGTCTGAAAAGCGATCCGAATCCGGATCGATGGCTCACCGGATGCCGGACTGAGGCGCTCTACATTTAACGTAGGTTGGGCTGAGAGGGGGTTTACTACGGGCCTATCTCTCTCGGGTACCCCTAAAATTCAACCTCGAATAAGTGGCATTCCGGTGAACTGACTGTGACACTTGACCAGACAGTCTTCTGACTGCTGAACTGACTATCCTAAAGCATGGGAAGGGGGCGGGAATTGTTCCTGTAGTGCAACCGTACGTTACGAACTAAGATAGAAAACTGCGATTAAAAATTTTAGAAAAAGGAGGAGCCTTTTAGACGTATTGTACAATGCGTTTGACGGGGCCAGCGCCGCGTAGTGCAGTCACACACCTGCGCGCGAGCGCTACCGTGGTCTGCAGCGTGCAGGGACCATGCCGCGCAAAGCGGCGTAGTCCTTGTTTTAGCTACCTTCCTTCTTCTTTGTTAGCTTTTTCGCTGTCCTGCATCCAAATTTCTGAATTTTCCTGTCTAAACTCTACTTCGGTGCTCTGAGATCTCCCAAAGTATCACTGCGCGAAATGGAAGACAAAATGGAGGTTTGAAGTCTAGAGGAAGATGTAATCAATCATTTTATTTAAGAATTCTAAGAACGGCTGGTTCTCTTCCACTTTACAGCTAAAGATGATTATGTGAGATGTAATTCATATCGTATAGGTTGAGAGACAGTTTGAGTGAACAGCGCCAACGTCCTGTTCACTCCCTGGACGACATGCGATTATATCCGCTGAAACAGAGTCGATATAATGATTCACGACATCCAGAATCAGCCATCCGAAGAAGGCCTGGATGAAATGAAAGATGTATGAGGAAAAACGCTCGAATATTTGACACTTTCTTTGCTGCGAAAAAACCCATACCAGTATCAAGCAGATCGCGTATGAGCGTAGCAGCAAGAAAAAATGGCGACCCGCTGTTACAAAAACGGAGAAATTACGAGATACAATGATAAAAACAAGGTCCGCGATGTTGTGCGCAGCATGGTCCCTGCTCGCTGCGCCTACGGTAACGCCCGCGCATAGATGTGTGACTGCACTATGCGGCCCTGGTTTCGTTAAACGCATTGTACAGGGTGTCTTGAAAAATGTGCACATTGCTTGATTTTTGATAACTTTCTTGCATTGGTATCTTTCGGCGATTTATAAGTATCATGCCGAGAGGCTTCAACTTAGATTTGCAGTATCGAAAATCACCAGTCACTCTTCATTACTTTAGGATTACGGTACAACTCCAGCATACAGGAACATTGTGAAATAAGCTGTCTGAATTTTTTTTTCACAAAGTTTGAAAATTGTGTTGCATTGTTTCCGAACACGCTGCTTTCCATACAACTTTTAACGAGTTTTTGGGGCTTAAGGGGAGGGGGGGGGGGTAATCACATTTCTGACAAACATTGGAAAAGCAGCTCTTGCTGCTCACCTGGAATAACTTGACGAAGCAGTAGAGTGCAAATTCCATACTCAAAATCAGCGACTTTGTGAGCCTCGTATGAGATTGGCTTGTTTGGTTTTTTCCCGAGGCAGAAAACTGACTCTCAGTGGCCTGAAATCTTCATCGAATCTAAATAATTATCCTGCAATGAGAAACAAAAGGTGTCGCTCCGCACTATGAATGTAAGTTGGACTTCTTGAAAGAGAGATATTTTGACTATCAAACAGTACAACGTTTGGGACACCCTCTATAATCAATTGTGATAGTCATGTTAGTTTTCAGTTTTGTCGTCTAAGCTATCAGGTACTTCTTTTTCGATTCGACAGCAAAGACAAAGCAGTCTGCCTTTTTTTTCAAGAGGATCTGCGACTATGCAGTATGAACATGCTGAAATGTTGAAAGAGCTTCAATCGCTCTTATAGTGAATTATCAATGACGTTGCGCATCCTTTTCATAAAGTCATCTCTCTTCCTAAGTCGACGGAATTGTGTAAAGCATATGTGCGATTCATAAAGCAGATTTTCTTCCTAACCAGTACAAGTAAATTCTAAGTGAACTTTCAGTAACAGAGTACTTGACTACCCAAGACTCTTAAGTAGAAATTAGTCTGTCAATCGGATCATGGTTGCAAATTGATGAGCGACCATTCATTGCTTAGTTTCTGCATAATGAATTCTTTATTATTACAATGAGAAACATCGGTGTGTTCCTAATTTTTTGAAGGAGGGGTTGGCCCCTAAACGCTGCACAAAATTTCTTCCATCATCGGCTGATAATACGGCAGGTTGCTTGAACCAGAAATAAATTGCGACTTGTGAGGATTATTGGCTCAAATAGCGCCAATATTAATTATGTACAATTCGTACATGATATAACTTGTGAAAAATTCAACTATTCACTGACGCCTAGTCATCCTTTCATTGCCTGACTGTTCCGAATCAGTGGTATGGATAGGCCTAAAAACTCACAATTAGTTCTGCAAAGTTTCATGATACCACTAATGTCGCTGTTCGGCATCTCTACTGTTAATCAGCATCTGTCCCTACTTTTCAATAAGCAGTTATAAACGTAATGGTACCATTTTGGTTCATCCAATGTGGTGATAGGCCTACGAATCATGCCCTGGCATCCAGAAAGCAATTAAAGATCCTTTATGGCAGGGTCATTTTACAGAATAGACAAAACTCATTTCTCGCCTTCCTCGTAAAGGAGGTCAGTCGGTACATTAGCCACCGGCAGCTGGCCCTCTTTGCGCCATTTCGATGAGAACAGAGAGTTGTAAAACAATCGGCTAGCTAATAGCAACTACTTCTGAACTTTCTTGGTGCGTCCTCTTCATAAGAAATCAAGAAGTGGTAAGACTTTGTAGAAGCATCATCCAAATTCTAATGCACTTTCTTATTTTCTGCAAATTAGGAAAGAAGTTCAATCCAAATTTATGCACGGCGTGACTCTGCTGGCTGTACTGCACTGGTCCTCAATTATAAGTCACACTCTGTCATCTCAGTTTACAAAGCCACAATTTTGCGAATACATGGAAAGTGACCGAACTGCGATAGACCAGCATTTGCTCTGTGGTCTCTTCTGAAACCATTACCTGGTCTTTCTGCGCAGTTGCTTTCTTGAGATTGGAAAATTATCTAGGATTTGACCAAATAAAAAGAGTAGCGTCACTTTACATGGAAGACGAAACAGAGAAATATATAGCAGCACAATCTTAGCTCTGCTCTAGCTCGAGCAAGGAGAGCCAGATCGAGATTGCGACAGGAAGTAAAAAGTAAGGAAGCAATGAAGAACACGCGAGAGCGCAAAGAACACTATAAAATAAAAGGATTAAGGATTTGGAACTGGGAGACAAAAGCTGGTTTGGTGGAAGGTCTGTTGTTACTGCAGCATACACATTAGTTATTGAATATTGGTATTGTTTTGTGAAGGTGGAAATACTGCATGAGCACTTTCCCAAAAGTGTTCTCGCACACTGTCAGCTTGGTGAGAGCGTGCAGTGTTTGGAGAACAGAGTTTCTGCCATTATCCCTATCACCTTAATCATTTTCAGGCATCCCAACAAATGTCTCGCTATCTCTGTTCATCGAAGGCATGTCTTCGTTCAGCGCACAAACAATGGACTATCATTTAGATATGTATTTTCAGCAGGTAAATATTTTCGGATTATATGGCATTTCACGTAATTGCTTTGAAATGCAGGAGTGGTACGACCATCGATTGGCGCACAATAACAGTGTGCCTATTTTGATAAGGGATAAAAAAGTATTCGCAGAAATGTGGCATCCGGATGTCTACTTTGCCAATGCAAAATCGGCTTCTTTCCAGGTAAAATTAACAATTGAACATAAATGCGTATTAGAAAGAAATGACGACGATTGTGGGTGCTAAGTTCATTCTTTTGCATAAAACAGCTAAAAACCTCTCAAGAATTGGTCGCCGTAAGCAGCGCAAATGCATGAAAGTTTAGGGATAAAAAAGCAAAGTGGCTGAATATTCTTGCGATCATTTTCACAAACTTTGAAGGGCCGGGCATACTCCACGCGATTTAAGTCGCGGCGCGATTTGGCAGTTCGCCAGAAGTCTTCAGATCCAACACTAGCAAATTGCACATGCACAGTATGTATAATTTACGAGGATTGATAAAATGCCCTATCTTCTGTACATTTAAAAGTGCTTACAGTGAGTATGGACAGGTGGAATATTGCCAAATCGCGTCGCTACTGAAATCGCGTGAAGTATGCCCGGCCCTTGAGAAGTTCTTGCGAGTATGAGTTAGACCAGAAGTGGCATGGCACTTGTAAGGGACCAGTCCATAAGCGCCCAAAACAGCCCAAAAAAGGCCGAAAAAACCGAAACGCAGGAGCGAACTTTTGGTAGAATTCTGACGTTATTTCGATGTGCAGACGAGAAAAATTAAGCAAAAAGAATCGTTTGCGAAATTAACACACATGCCTTAGCGGCAAAACGGAAGGGGCGTTTTGGCTCTTTCGGGCTTTTTGGGCTTTTTTCGGCGAAGTATGATGGGTCCCTAAGACATTTTCCGCGATTTTACTGGGTTTCCAAAATTTGCGTGGAACCCACTATAAGTGCATTACCAACGCTGATCACGCTGTTAGGTAAACCGTTCAACTCTTTGTATGCTGAAGTTGAGAAACTCTAATTCTTCGAATCCAGTAAGCGGTTGCACAGATTAGAAGTTCAGTAGGCCTTTTTCTCAATGTCGCCTAGCGTTAATCATTTTCAGGAGATAACTGATGACAACTTTTTCCTATGGATTTATCCAGATGGAAGAATTTGGTACGATACTAGAATTTCAGTTGTAAGTTATTTGAAGATAACCACCCAACTTTATCAGAACTCTTTATTACCAGGGTTGAGCAAGAGGTCAGGCACAAGTCCTTCAAAAACGACCCCCCCCCCCCTGTGAAAGCCCCTAAAATAACCCCTCCTATTCACCTCCAGGACCTTAGACTGTGATATTTTGAAGCAGACCAGACTTTACTGAAGGGTTCTTGTTTTCTGGCCACAGGCCCAACTTTCTGCGATTGCACAACCACACGCGACTTGACTTGACGGCAAGTCTTGGCTTGGACGGCCCACTTTTCAGAGTTATAGTTTTTGCAGGGGTGGAGTGTTTGGCTCCAAATTTTCAATGTAGCAAGAAGAGGCTCTGCGCTCAATACTCATACTGAAAAAGGAACGATTTTTGAATATTGAAGGCAGGATAAGGGGGTCAGGCGCAACCCCTCAAAAGCTCAGGCGGCCTGACCTTTTGAGTGGTTGCGCCTTACCCCATTAACTTTATTTTCGAGGAAGCTTTTCTATCCAAGTTTTATGTGATTCGCTAGCACAACTCTCGAAGATTCCACAGTATGTGTTTGAGCTTGTTTCGACTTGTTTCGGCCTTGTAGTAATCCGTAGAGTTGAAGCACTTAATGTGAAGAACGCGCCGGTTGGAAATTTGGCAGCACTTCTTACTTCACTATTTGAAAGCGATATGAAGCCTGATTTCTAGCATAGACTTGTAGAGAACGTTACTTTGTTATGAGTATAAAAAAGCTGACTATTTTCACTTTTGAAGCCAAGTTAATCATGTTTGAAAATCACGCTTTCTAGACGTTGCGAAACACTAGAAAATGCGATAGGTAATGACTTTAGAGCTCATAGAGATGATCTGACATGCTGATTACGGAAATAATACCCATTTCACACAGCAGGCTTACTTGGCGACCTCATGACATGTGGAGGTAAAAGAGAATTTGGCTGAAATTTCGATTGTGGAAACAATCAATATGCTGTTTACGACCGTCATTCCTTCAGTACCGGTGATTGCGATATCCACCGGACTAGCGCATTTCTTCTTCACCTTCGTAGTATCTCCCCAATTGAACTGATTCGGTTCTTGATTACGACCCCCCCCCCCCGGCCATACCCCCAAGGCGACCCCCCAGGTCGGGCGCGCCTGACCTCACGCTCAACCCTGTTTATTATTCTTTAACGAAGTTCAGTGTCTGAAGCGCTCTTTCAGATTGTGTCCTGCAACATGGACTTATGGAAATATCCACTGGATTCTCAGAATTGCCCACTCCGGATACTTTCCTGTAAGTTTTCATTCCCTCATTCTCTCCCTCAATTAAACACATTCAGACGCGTATCCTGAATCAACTTTACGCCTGATTTGGTTTCTATCAGAGGATGGGACTCCGGCCATCGATAGAAACAGGGAAATCACCATGCCTGACATGCAGCTCAAGGACATTCAAACGGGTTACTGTAATGGCACATATGCAACTGGTAAGATGCGTCTCGTCGTTATGATACATATTTTTGAATAAGTTACTATTAATGGAAGCAACAGCAGTTTTTTTTCCAAAAGTAATGACAGAGACAGAAACATCGCGAAAAAATTAGATACTTTAGAATTAAGATGTTTGTCCAAAAAGTTTTTTTGCAAGATGCTTCTTCTATTTCAAGAATTGTTCCGAACCAGGGCTCGGCACGAGGTGGCTAGATGAAAATGGAAAAAACGAAGTCCCCCTTGACTTTTGGGAATTTTTACGAAGTCCCCTTTGACCCTCAACCAAATTTCCTCTAAAAACCTGAAAAACCCAAAATCCCCCAAAAAACGAAACGTCGACTAAAAAAAAAAAGAAAAAAAGGTCGCCGTCGCCAATTTTCCGTGTCTCTTCGGTCACAAAAACGAAACCCCCTTTGCTTTTCGTCCCAAAAACGATATCCAGCTTGCTTGTAAGCCACCTCGTGCCGAGCCCTGTTCCGAACGCTTTAGCATCAAACAGTTTGCTTGCTTAATTTCATACAGCATGTAGACTGCTTTCACGAAAAATTCATCCCACCCTTATGTCCAACACTGGCTTGTACTTACTACCTCGACCGTGTCACATATGGCACTCAGAGAATGTGAGAGCACCGTTTATAAAATTAGTGTTATTTTAGGAGTTTGGAGTTGCATATCGGCCGTATTCTATGTGGAGCGGGAAATGATGCACCATGTGATGCAAACGTACTTACCCACAGCCTTGATAGTAGTTATCTCATGGTGAGAAGCGTTCTGCTGTTTCGTGTTTTCCGTGTGCTTTTGAATTTCAGATCTGAAGAAATGATAATTTCAGGTTCAGTTTCTGGCTTGATGTTGACTCAGCTCCGGCGCGAGTGACGTTAAGCATTACAACGTTACTAACCATCTCTACTCAAGCGAATGCGGTGAAACTTGCACTGCCAGAGGGTACGTTTTCAATACCTTTACCAACCCAGTTAAGATTCTCATCCGTTCAGCCGTACGAACAGTTCCGAAAATTTCTTAGCGAGTTCTTAGCAATCTGAATTTTGATCACAAACATTCGAAAAAATAACTAAAAATAGAGTTTCCTTTATGAACAAGATACAATTAAGGAGATATAAAATCGAAGGGGTTGTTGATATAACGTTTCAACATTCAGAAGATTTCCTGAACGACATTGATATGTACGACAAGATAGGTAGAACCAATTTATTCTTTTTGGTTCATAAACAATCAAAAAAATTCGACCAGCATGATTTTTTCACATTTAGAACGTGTACCCATAAAACATAAACGTGAAGACGACGTATTTTGTTAAATATGCTGTTACTTTCTACAAAATATTCTTCACTCTAATTAAACATATACCCCATTCAATCATAAGAAAGACAATACTTGCAGAAAAAAGGGAACAAAACTTGATATAAGATCATAAGATTATACGTGATTATAAGAAAGCTAATTTGGGATTCTCCAAGCATAAAAGCAACACTTCATACGATTGAGGTCGACTAGACTGCGCGGCGTATGTGAAGAGAGCTGAGAACAAAAGGTCGACTAGACTGCGCGGCGTATGTGAAGAGAGCTGAGAACAAAGCCCAGAGCCAGCCGTGAGCGAAGCTGCTGTTTAGCTCTCGTTTCAGGACCACATAATGCTTTGTTGCTCTGAAAATCAGTAGAGTGTCAGTGATGTAAAATATACAAATCAAATGAAAAACTGAGAAGAAATTGAAAAACAACAAACACGTTTACATTGTTTGTTTCAGTGTCGTACATGAAGGCCATTGATGTGTGGATGGGATCCTGTATGGTTAGTTACATTTCTTTTTATTCAAGATTATACGTCAATATCTATGTATCATTTTTGTGACTAATAGTGTATAAAATCAGATAATCGCCGGAGGCGGCCATGCTATTTATGGGCAGGCGGGCACCGAAAAAATAGTTCGCTGATTTCTTGCGGTCCGCTTACAGATAATTGGAAGAATGTTGGCGAAATTAGACAAATGCTCGGAGAACAACTGCGGTTTTTTTATAAAGTAGTCGCGATGCAATGGCCGCATTCTCGTGGACTTTCCGCGAAAATATGCAAAATTATTGGGGGCCGCACTGTCCTTGTGAAGGACCGCACAGCTTGTAGGTACCTTCCGCTGGGAGAAGGTACCCCAAACTCGGGCAATTGAACCATCGATGGCACCTCTGTTAGGAGTCCTACCTTTGCTCGGCGTAAACCCGAAACTGCGTAAAAAGAGTCCGAAGGCCTGCTGTAAGTTTGGCCCGCGCTCGCTGAAAGAGATTATCTGACGAGCACTTGCAGAAAATTTTGTATTGCTGCCCGCTGGCAGAACACGGAAGTACCGCTCGTGGAAGGTTTGGCCACCAAAATTTTGCTGACCGCTTGCCCCCGGAGATTAACTGAGAATCTGGAGCACTGTTTGTCGACGCATTTTTCTATTTAAAGTAAAAGGTTACATTCCAACTATTACAGGCATTCGTATTCGGTGTAATGATAGAGTTCACCATTTGTCACTTTGCGAAGAATCAAGAACTTCTTAGATGTGAACCGAAACCATCACTGATTGTAGATACCGCGTTGTCCACATTGTTTGGTGCAGCCAGGGATATCGATGACCTCGTAAGTTATTGAGCTCTTTCAACACTCGACCTACTCTGTTCACAAAATATTTCGATACTTTTGAATGCAGAACCTGTGCCATGAAGTTTAACTTCTATTGGGTCTTTCCGAAAGTATCTCCGCTTTCAAAAGAGCTTAACATCCCGCACAACTAAGATCTTCGAAAGCTTTTGGTCGCATTCGATGCAGCTCTTCATCGTCTTTACAATATCTTTTCTTCATTCCAAGCAAACCGACCATCTTTTATAGAATGGCTAAAAACTACGACCCCTGGTTTTCGCCATGGCTAATTTGGTTTTTTTTGGAAGTTTTTACACCGGCCTTCCTAACCAATCCCATGATTGTAAAAAGAGCTAACCTCAAAGGATACAAAACATTTTTCCCATAGTTTGCTCTGAGAATTTTAAAGTTATTTTTTGATGCCATCAAATTCCATATTAGGTCAATTGAAAACTTATAGAGCATTGATCGGCGGACCACATGGGTGTCATCTGAAATTATTGACCTCTTTTAATAGGCTCATTATGTTTCCGTAAAGTCGTCCTGCGTAAAACACCACAATTTATGTTTTTGAACGCACTTCACGCTGTGCTCAAAAATTGGAGACATATTTCGTATTCGTAAATGCTCGTTTGCTTCATAAAATTGAGTTACCATAATCTCTTCTTGCTTTTGAATTTTAAATACTCATTGGTGTTTGACGAGTTCGTGTCCGAGGCAGAGCTGCTAAAATATGGAGAGTTTTCTCCATATCTCCTTCGCATTCGATACAGCTTTTCATCCTCACCCGCGTTCGGTATCGGAAGATCAGTATAGAAATTTGGAAAAATAGCGAATATTGACCCTGGCCGATCCATGGTCGTATTAATTGGAATGAGGAAACCATCCTCTGAGAGAGTGAAAGGCTGTATCGAATGCGCGCGAAAGCTTCCGAAAATCTCTGTACTACGAGTGTGAGACTTTTGACAAAAATGGAATTTTTCTCAAAACCATCTGTAATACAAGGCATTCGAGGCGACAAAAACTATCATAACTTATAATAACGGGCTAAGGATGTTTACGTGTTTTTGTGTGTGTGTGTGTGTGTGTGTGTGTGTGTGTGTGTGTGTGTGTGTGTGTGTGTGTGTGTGTGTGTGTGTGTGTGTGTGTGTGTGTGTGTGTGTGTGTGTGTGTGTGTGTGTGTGTGTGTGTGTGTGTGTGTGTGTGTGTGTGTGTGTGTGTGTGTGTGTGTGTGTGTGTGTGTGTGTGTGTGTGTGTGTGTGTGTGTGTGTGTGTGTGTGTGTGTGTGTGTGTGTGTGTGTGTGTGTGTGTGTGTGTGTGTGTGTGTGTGTGTGTGTGTGTGTGTGTGTGTGTGTGTGTGTGTGTGTGTGTGTGTGTGTGTGTGTGTGTGTGTGTGTGTGTGTGTGTGTGTGTGTGTGTGTGTGTGTGTGTGTGTGTGTGTGTGTGTGTGTGTGTGTGTGTGTGTGTGTGTGTGTGTGTGTGTGTGTGTGTGTGTGTGTGTGTGTGTGTGTGTGTGTGTGTGTGTGTGTGTGTGTGTGTGTGTGTGTGTGTGTGTGTGTGTGTGTGTGTGTGTGTGTGTGTGTGTGTGTGTGTGTGTGTGTGTGTGTGTGTGTGTGTGTGTGTGTGTGTGTGTGTGTGTGTGTGTGTGTGTGTGTGTCTGTCTGTCTGTCACGAAATTCGTGGAACGGTTGCCAGCCAACATCTTAAGCCCAAATTTTGCACAGCGCATGCTACCAACATGAGAGTCCACTATATCAAAGCTTGAGCGGATCCGTTTAGCAGATCCCTCAAAAAATGCGCGTCAATCGGACCCACCTGGCTTTTCGTCCCCAAAATTGGGTCCGTAATTCCACTTTTTGCAGGCTCGTGGATGTTTATGGCAAGTAAATGTGCAAACCATGAACTTAGGCCCAAAAAAGTGATCAAAAGTCCACTACTTTACAAAAACGGCGCCAAAAAGTATTGGTTGCGTAAATGGTCATTTTGCCAAGCTTTTACCAGAGCATTTGATGAGATTTTTGCACCTAAATGTAGCTTATGGTGACTACTGTTCTTATGGCGACTGTCAAGACTGTGGGAAAATCAAAAACGTACAAAATTTTGCTTTGTTCTCCTGCAAAAAAATTTCATCCACGCGAAATCACCAATTTCACATAAAAGCTTTCGGAATGAGTAGTTGTTTACATTTTGTTCATGATAGTAGGCATTGCTCGGTGAGTTTCAATGCCATCATTATGCGAGAATGAGTAGGGCCTATATAGTAGAACCAGTGCGAGCCTCTGCGAAGCAGAGGTGACGCACTGGTAAATAATAATAAAAAAACCAGTCACGGCAGTTGGGAAAACAAGTGTTACAAAGCACTGCAATTGAGATTTGATCTTATACTGAATATAGGAGCTTTACGAAAAGCACATGAAAGGCACTAGGCATTAATACATATTATCTGCTCTTCAATACAGACAAATCCCGTTTTAGTCTTCCCTAATGCAAAGGCTGAAATCAATGGATGTGCTTTCAGACTGCTTTGAATGAATTATATTGTAAAGAAATTAGAGCATAATTCCGATAAGGAAGAAAAGGCTAATAGCATTGAAGATTGAAGCCATATAAGCAAAATACTTGGATGACTTTCGACGTGTAAGAAACATTTGTCATTCATTTGAGAAAGCAAGTCGCAAATAATATCCAGTACACTTAGTCTAGACTTTACTTCCTTTTGAATTTGTTAGTTGCGAAACGCTCAGTTCAAACTTAGTCTCTTCATTGCTGTTGACGATGGTAGCTTCTAAACATTCTAGAACTAGCAAGATATTTTCCGGCTAAACCGGTCACCGTACAACACATTTTAGACGGATTTTCTGATCTGTAATCAACCATTTACATAAATTTATGTAGAGTCCGCTCTAACTGCCGAGTGTTCGGAACTTCCCAGATGAAATTTTTTTCACAAAAAAGACCGTGAATTTCCAATTTTATGAGGAATTATATTTCAGGATTCACCTGAAATAAATATGCCAGAGGTAAACTTCTTTTATCCCACTCTAGTTCCACATATGCATATTTTCTTCTTTGCAAAGCATGTTGCCAAACCGCTTCTTGTCCTTTATTCTATATATCTTTCTCATATCCTGGCTTGAAAACGAAAGATAGGCACCGTGCAGATGCATGGACATGATTTATAACACAGAAATGCCTTGCTCTATAGCTTCTGTTTATGATTTTATGAATTCCCCATGTCTCCAGCTGAACCATCACTTTAATTTACATTAGCAAGGTGTAGTCTGCCTCATGTCTGCAATTTGCATCGCATTTTTTTTAAATTCACGCAAAACCCTGAGCACGACCATTAGTTATAACTCATGGTTTGAGTTTGAAAGAGAGCTTTGGATACCGCAGATTTAACTTGTCATGATTTAGACTGACGAAGACCTTGGAATCACAAGCAGAGGAAACCATGTATCCCTAAATCTGCTTAGTCCAGAGCAAACTGAGCCACGTCTCCGTAGCTTGGGAACAGAAGTGAGCACAAACGGAGCTAGGTAAGGCGTTACAGAAGTCTAGAGCATACAGTAATCTAAACACTTCTTCCATATAAGAACAAAGTGCTGCTGGTTGCGACCATGTTGGTATAAGTAATGCTTTGAAACTCTAAATAGTTTTCTCATGAAAATGTTACGCAGATGCTCAATACATCAATTTAGAATTTTCAGCAAGTAGTCAATCGAGTTCTTGCAACGTTTCTTTCCCGTATTTCCATTACCGTATGAGAATAATCGCAGACTTTGATTTATACTTGAAAACATCACACATGAAATATCACACAAAATATTAGGTTGAACCGAAAGTTCTTTCCCCCCATTTTCAAAAATTCATAACTTCTGATTTTTTCAATTAATTTGGCTGCATCTATTTTTGTGTGAAAGAGTAACTCATGCTCTTCATAAAGACATCTTAGCTGCTTGCTAGTGATCATCTGTTGCATAGATAGGAGCGATAGAAGAAAATTAGTCAAAATTTGAATTTTCTGTGTAGGGTCATAAAAAATCAAAGACTTGCAAGAAAAATCGCAGCGGTCAGTATTGTAGGCTCTTTTACCAGCTCTTTCTAAGAGTGCAAAGTTTGCGCCGATTGAGCGTCTGAAAAGTTATGATTTCCCTGAAAAATGCCAAAATATTAGGCTGGAAACTAAGTTTTGCAACTGGTTTCATAACTTCACTCTCTTTGGATATGGCGCACTCAAACTTTGGCATCATGTAGAAGGCAATGTGGGCTACAAGTGTGCACAAATTGTTTGAATTTTGAATACGAAATAGAAAAGTTTCAGGCGTTTTTCGAAAACCAGTGAAATTTGAAAATTTTGGGGTTTCAAGCTAAAATAAAGCCTTTCGCAGCCTAGACCATGCGCAGTAATCCGGATTCGTCTACAAATTATTGAGGTTGACTCCTTTGGTCTATTAAGAAAGAAACAAAATATAAGGGCATGGTGAGATTTGGCGTCCTCATAAAGTTGAACGAGTCGATGTACGCAAGAGCCGCTGGTGACGACCGTCAACGACTAAAAAATCCGAAGCTCAAATTCCGCCGAGACTTTACATAGTAAGGTTATTTGACCTGCCAAACGCGAATATCACATTCATTTGTTGAATCAACGCCTTTTCCCTTGTTTAGGGTGAGACCCCATATCGTACACCCACAGTAATCCTACAAAAAAGCCCTTATCACGCAATTTCACTATCGTTTTCGTGATCAGCATGTCGGATAACACTCCTATGCCAAGTTTCACCAAATCCGTCAAACTTTGAATTTTTCCCCTTGATACCATGCACCTACGTAACCCTCACTGCGACGTCAGAATTTGGTAGGACAGCAGCTGCGCTTGTAGTATACATAATAACCAACACAGTGGCAAAATTTGAGTGCGCCATGTTGAGTGAGAGGGAAGTTATGAGACCAATTGCAAAACTTAGTTTCCAACCTAATACCCTCGATATCATCCCATATGTCTTCCCTCAACATGACGTGGATTACGCCACGTCGCGCCAAATGATGCGCTCGCAACGTGGCGCGAGCCCGAGGCGAGGCGGCGCCTCATCAAGCCACGTAATCCACGTCATGTTGAGGGAAGACATATGAGATGATATCGAGGGTAAATCAAATTCGCCCTTTTGTATTGCTTGCTCGAAAATCGTAACTTTTCATAGAGACGCTCAATCGGCGCAAACTTTGCACAGTTAGAAAGAGCAGGTAACAGAACTTATAATACTGACTGCTCCGATTTTTCTTGCAAGTTTCCGATTTTTTATGACCCTACAGAGAAAATTCAAATTTTGACTTTTCTTCTATCGCTCCTATCTATGCAACAGATGATCATTAGCAAGCAGCTAAGATGTCATTATGAAGAGCATGAGTTACTCTTTCATACAAAAATAAATGCAGCCAAATTGGTTGAAAAAATCGGAAGTTATGAATTTTTGAAAATGGGGGGAAAGGACTTTCGGTTCGACCTAATAAAATATAAAATATGAAATTTAATATGAGCCTTCTAATTGGAAATTATGCATTCTTACATTTATGACAAGTCAGCTGCACAGCGCCCATGAAGATCGATAAAATGGGGCAATCACCTACAGTCGGCTAGATTTTCCGCTCAAGATAGTGTGCTTGCACTGAAGGTGAAAAGCGTTATAATTTGCGCGTGAACAAGTAATGCCAGCCTTTTGCGCGGCATTTGGCCGGCGTTACGGGCGCAGGTTTTTGTTCACGCGCAAATTCCACCAATTTTCAGCTTTCTACCGAGTGCAATGCTCGGACAGAGAAAGCTTCTGCTTGCAACATTATAGCATAATCATTTTTCTATAAGTTTTTCTTCAAATTCTTATCTCGGCACCAGCTGAAACCATGGAGATTTTGAGAAGTCCCTTTGATTTTGAAAGATTTTTGTGAGTTTTTCTTTGACCCTTTTTTGCCCCCCCCCCTCCCACTAGGCCCCATCTAAATCTACTTAACCGGCTGCGCGGGCGGTTGCGCGCGTTTCTCACTGCGTGGTGGGACCTGGCATATTGAGCTTTGGCCACGCTTGCTCTCCGAAACTTGGAAAATCACGGTTGCGCCTCTTATGCAGTTCTTCTTGCTTTCAGTATCTATGTTGGAAGAGTTGTGGAGATATATGAGTGGTTTCTTGATGTTTATTTGTGATTTTCGGCTCATCGTTCAGAGCTTAACAATTTCACCAGTATTGACAAGATAAGCTCTTTTATCTTAAGTGGGCAGAAAGTTTGCGTAAGACAGCTTTTTTTCTCCCAAGTAAGGTTACTCTGCAATAGGTGGCATCACCACTTTCATATTGTTTTCGTCATGCTATTTCACGGCAAATGGCCGTCATTTCATGATTAGGGATGTCTCTTGACTGTACGGACTTGTATGCGCTACAATGGACACACCGTGCCCAGAAGCTTATCCGTACATGCAGCATCTATTACATCCTACCGCTAAATTTTGTCAAGAGAATGCTTTTTGAACGATGAAAACCTCTAGGGAAGGGAGTTCTGAGCGGCTCGATACCTATCCTCATACTTCTTAAGTTCTTCACTTAAAGGGCCTACAACTGGGCCTTCACTAACATGTCTATTGTTTATTGTGAACTAGAAGATCTGAGAGAGCTTCACGTATGGTCAGCTAGTTGGTACTGTAATCATAACGTGCATAATCTACCAAATAACTAGCTTTGCAGAATAAACGGATCCGACTTTGTCAGACAATGCTTGGCGTTCGCTCCATTAATCACGAAACATCGTTTTGCCTTATCAGTTTTGTTGGAAAAAGTAATGAAAGTCCAGGCCTGAATGTTTGACAGCATTGCTCCTATCTGACAGTTTGTCTAACTAGTCTCTAAAACTTTGAAGACACTGGTGTGATCTCGTACAGTGGATTAAAGACTGAATGAGAAGAGCATTATGTTTCACGGTGAAAATAGTAATCAAACATTTGAAATCAGCATCAGAAACAAAGCGAAACGTATCAACAAAAAAGAATCAATAATGTTTTTTTGGGATGGTATCAATCCTTTCTCAAAAAAACATGAATCTTATTTCATTTCATTTCATTTGTACGCTCAAGGCGTTCCATAAAAAAAGACACATCAAGAAGTTAGTAATACAGCGGAAACGAACAAGACATGTAAACAAATGCAGACATCATCATGTCAGTCCGAGTCTGATCCTAATCAGACTAATGTGAGAAGATAAAACAGCTTGCACTGAATATGTTGGTAGGCTAATAGATAAGTATGCAGATGTAGGCATGAGATTTATAACTCCAAAACTTTGAATCCATGGAGATGGGACGCATGCTTCCTCGTTGCCAGCGGAACGATCTTTAGTTACTCTTAAAAGCAATTCGGCGGCTTATAAGGCAGGTCTACTGGCTCAGGTATAATAACCACAACCCAACCTAGCCGGAATGCTGGGGAGGCCCAATGACCCCAAAGGTGAAACGATTTTCATTGAATCCATTTGTTGAAATAGCAAGCTGTACGATTGACTACTAGATAGCTGAACGAAAAAGACTCGGACTGAGATGCTGATGAAACTGTGTTAGTAACTCAAAACGAGTACACCAAAAATAAAAGTTTGACGCAACGTGAGGAGATACACGAGAGGCGTCAAAGAAATAATTTACAGCCACAACTGAACCCGCATTCAATGCAAGATCACCGAACACCTGAAAAGACAGGTTTTAGAGGTAAAATGGAGAAGAAAGGTGATAGAAAACAAAGCCCAAAGCGATTTCATCCGTCATCATAGCACGTCCAAAGCACCCAATGGAAGCCCAAAAGGTCTAATGCAGAAGGCTCGCCCTGTCATGCAACACTAATCGGTGTTAGCGATACTTGACAAGTCAAGGCTTCTCAGTCTACTCCTGAAAATATGACTACTCTCTGCACTAGTGGTCTCAACCGGGAGGTGCGAAAGCCACCTAGCCGACCTGTAGAACACGTTGTTGAACATCAGCAAGTATATCTTGCGCCGGATTCTTGGATATTGCAAGTTAAAAGAACCTGACCTTTCGCTTGTAGGAACAAAAATGCAACATAGGAAGGATTTCACACTGTTGAAAATGTACAAGCACGCGCGCACTGAGGTCGTACAATGGCCTGCCCTTCCACAGGAATGTTCGCTGCAAAGCAGCTCCAGTATGAGAACCCTACAACTCTATGAATGCAGGATATGACAATATGCACTTCTGAGAATGGTTTTTGTCCTTCCTAATTCTTCAAGAAGTCTGACAAGATTCAAAATAACATGCGCGACCGCGACTTTCCAAGTTCCGGAGAGCAAGCGTGGCCCAAGCTCAATGTGCTAGGTCCCACCACGCAGTGAGAAACGCGCGCGACCGCCCGCGCAGCCGGTTAAGTAGATTTAGATGGCGCCCTCCCACTACTCCTCCTGCCCCATCAATGTGATCCGCAGTCGGCTCACTGAATCACCAATAAACGAGATTAACCAGTTAGAATGCAGAGCATAGTTGCAGCATTCTCATTCACAGCAAAGGAGAACTAAGCTCCACACTGCAATGGTCTTGTTCATTAATATCGTTAGGATAGGATTTGCACAAGAATCAAAGCTGATGAAAAATCTTCTATCTTCTTAGTCCTTTATTTTCTTCAGTATGTGTTGGATAATTTTACAAGTTGCATGGCAGAACTTCAAATAAATAATTAAAACTATTACGGAAGTAGTCTGAAAACCTCAACAAAGGATGAAAGACTGCTCAGACACTCGTGGTTGACTCGCGCGCAAAGAAAAGTTATGTAGCGACAGAATGACTGCGGGACTTAAGTAAAACAGTCGCGAGAATTTCGGGACACCGGCGTAGTGATCGGGAAATTGCTGCACGAGACAAGTTATTTTCCCGCACTCACGCAGACCGGGAGAAAAACTGAGCTTTAGCGCAAGACCCGATAATGTTGAGAATTCAATTACGGCGCAACTTGCGCTCATCGCTGTTCTCTTAGTTACTTTTTGAGATGCATTAAATACCCATGTTTTCAAGTTTATTCTCTTATCAGTACTCAAATAGATGTTTATTGAGAACTTCTCATAACAAGTGCACACACAAAATAAATGAATTTAGATCTTGAAGTTAGAGTGCAAACAAATCAAAGCAAGAGCACCATAATAAATGGAATGGGAGTATAATAGTGGCTAAGTGAATTGAGAGGCCGTATTCATCATTGATACCTTGAGGTAAATCGTACTTCCAGGTAGTTTTATCAGTCATTATCAGTGATAAAACTTATGATAATGAGTGATTAAACTACCTGGAAGCAGGATTTACCTCAAGGTATGAATAATGAATACGGCCTCGGATCTTCAAGTTATAGGAATTTAAACAAATAAGCAAGAGCATCATAAGTGATATGGGATATAAAAATGGAAATTCTTCTAATTAGTGCGGTGATAATGAGAACATGATGGAACAGACAAAAGTAATAGTGATGCTTATGTGTGATAGAATTGCTTCAAAGTGTTTCGAGTTCATATTCTTTGTCCTCATCCCTGACCTGGACTGGATCGGTGGCCGCTGCAACTGTACAAGTGCGTTTTTTTCTGAAATAAAGATGCCATTTTAAGGCTGATGTGCATAGAAAGGATGTATATATTACCGACGGGGGAACGAGTTCGTTCTTTTCCGGTTTGAACGAATAAGCGCGCAGGTCTCCCCTAAATTGAAGATATATATATATTTACTGGAAGGATACATGAAAGCCTACAATGCTCTTGTAAGTGCTGAACGAATATTTCCATTCCAAGTAAATCTGGCTTGCACCGTGCTATCAAATCTCTTCGTGCGTTGTTGACCATTCTCTCCTAGCGTATGCCAGTAACTGAAAGCACGAGAAATCAGAGAGCTCTAAAAAAAAATTTTTGGTTATATCTATTAGCTTGTCTTGCGCATTCAGCGGCACTTAAAAGAAGCTCATCCGCGAATAAGCTAAAAGTCTAATATGAAGTCTAAAAAACGAGTAATTGAAAGTCTTTGCGCAGGAGCAGGCAGGAGTGGAGCAGGCCTGAGTCAAAAAGCTATGGCAGTTCGTTGTCTCTATGCAAGCAGGAACGAGACTATTACGAACAATGGTTTGCGTTCACTTTACTTATCGTCCCTTCCGCAGATCGTGCTACCCTTAATCTGCGTCTCAGACCTACCACGTGTGGCTAACATGTTGGCAACGTGGCAACAACATGTTTGCAACATGCTCCAACATGTCGGCAGAACATTTTGGCCACGCCAACATGTTGCTGCATGTTGCCAACGTGTTGCTGCCAACGTTGCCAATTAGTCACACGCGGCACGTCCGTGACGCCACAAAGGTAGCACGATCTGTGGAGGGGACGATATGTTTCGACTTCCTGCTCACGCCAGAGTGATAAATAATAATGCAATCAAAAAAAGATGATAACAATCTCGTGTATAGTGCACAGAAACTCGAGATATGTGAAAATTTTTCGCAAGGTGAACCTGCAAGGGTACTTCCAAAATTTTTTCAGTTAGGCAAGATCAGCTAGCTAAAATGATATTTAGTGAATGTGATAAGATCGCGTATAAGAACAAGCTTTAAATGCATTTTCTTCTATGAAAATTATAGAATTTAGCATAGGGATACACAATGGACAGGTGATAGAGAATAGGCAACAAAGAGCAAAAAAAGAAGTTATAGAGAAGAAAAATCGAATCAATGCTAAGAGTTTCGCATTGTGATCAGAGATACTACAAAAAAGTCTTGCAATATTCAAAAATACGAACCAACCTGACTATTGAAGAGCCAAGTAGGACGTGAAAGTGCGTCTGAGCTGTCTCTGAGATGAGACGAGAAACTCAGCGGTGATCCGGATGAACCCGACGAGTTACTGTTCATTGCGGTCGACGATGTGGAGAGACTATCGAACCAGGGCGAACTCTGTTACTTGCCTCCCAACGGGTCAAGCATGCGAATTGCTACCTGAGTAGAGGGTTGAACGCATTTGTCATACACTTCATAACGAGATGATGAAGAAACGCGAACGAACGCTGAGAAGAACTGGAAAATGCTGTAACGAAGAAGAAACTCTTATCGAGCACTCAAATCAAGAAGTCAATCGTTAACGTGGGACAAAAAAGAATCCTGATCGTTAACCCTTCAATGCGTAACAAAAAACAAAGAAACAGCGACACTTAAGACAGAATGAAATCAAATTCTCACTAAACCAGCAAAGTATTAGACTACTTCAACAAGACAGATTCGAACAACAAATATAATAATATTTGTTTATAATATAATACAATAACAACAACAACAAAAACTAGATGCAAGATTCACCGGAAGAATCAGCCCGCTCCACCACTAACACAACGGCGCAACTTCTTTTTTGAATTTAGACGCCCAGGGCGAAGCATGCGTGATTACAGACAAGACCATTTTAGACGACTAATCGCGACCAAGACCATTTTCGGGAGTCGCGACGGGTGTTGTGAATTTCTCCCGCCTCCTTTTTAGTTTCGGGATTAGCCCGAACGTCGCAACAAAAGCGCGTATGCCGCAGCAGTACTCATTTTTCCGCGCTACCCCGTTTTGTGGGCGGATCCACTGCGCGTGTTAACCACGAATGTCTGAGTGTGTGCTGCAAATAATACTGGCCGAGTTCTTCGCGTGAGGTTGGCAGCCTGTCGCGCGCAACGTTTCTAATTAGCGCCCACACGTAACGATACGCACCCAAATACGGCGAGGGATAACAATTATCGGACTTCCTAACTGCGGTGGTGCCTAAAAGGAAACTTTAGAAACAGAGAAATAACGTAAGTAAACGAGAAGAGTGAGGAATGCAAATGACAATAATCGCTGACGAAAGTGAGGGAAGCACGCGCCGGTTCGCTAAGGGGTGAGCTCTGCGATCGGAGCAGATCGCCATTGAAAATCTCATGAGACTATGAAAATGCCTATAGAAGAGATTATAAAACTTGTTTTATTTGTGTGGAAAAATTCATAATGAAGATGCAGTTTATGTAGAGATGTGAAAAATTATGCGAGCAAAAGGTCGGTTTCAGCTCAGCTAGCACCCAACTGGAACGTTTCCAACTGTTTGAAAATGTTGACCACGGCCTTCATTTACATAAGTTTTCACAAATTCTTGTGCAATAGCTGGAGTTCCCTCACGCACATGTGCACACCAAATTTGGTGTCATATCATGTGTTTTGATTGTAAACAAGACTTGTTTGTTTGGGAAGCAATTTTGAATGGCAGAGTGAGATGCTAACAAACAGTTAAATACTAAGCATCCCGCTGCATGACCGCAACGTGCCGCATACTAACAAACAGCGGTATGCTTACTCGCAAAAACGATATCCTCACTGTTTTTCTGCTCAAAAACGACTTCTAGCTTGACCGGGTTCCAGCTGCGCCGAGCTCTGATCGGGAGTATTCAGAAATGTACCTTTTTGATGCTCACGTTTGCTATTCATTTTCAACAACGGCGCTTTTTGCAATATTTCAATTCCTTAGGGGAAGGATAACAAGTCGGATTAGCATGCCGGAAAATGTCGTGTATCATCAGAAGCGTCTTCAAACGCTGATTTCAAATCTGCTTCTCCTTTCAGTGAAACGACTTTCGGAAAAGGTTATGAGTGCTTGAAGATTGATTTGTCAAGCTTCAAGTGTCACAAGTTTAGCGAAAGCTACAACAACAGTTATGCAAGTTCTTAGTGGGCGTATTCGTTCCTTATATATGTCAAACTACCATAATTACGTCTTTGAAGACTTCTGATTCATAATGTTGGTTGAATTTCCAGTAAATATAAGATTCCAATCGCTCACAACTTCTGATTTGGAATCAGCGTTCTAAGCTTTTGGTCATATGCATCTCTTTCTAGTTCATGCGTGCGACTTGGTATCCCCCCCCCTGTTGAGCATTTCATTAGCATAACCATTCATTACTTTTTGTTCTGATTCAAGTGCCATCTTGAAGTCTGGCCTTCGTCATATTACTAGTAATTCTGCCTGAACTGCAGCAGCAGCGTAGAATCTTTTTACAGCAGTAATCTACATATTCCAACTATATCGTCTCGTTCATCCCGACGAAGTTCAAGCCTATCTAGATCTCTGAGGTGAAGAGTATAGTGTCATTATCGCATGTCGTCATTGTGGTGTTGTTACATACGTTGTCGACATTAGTCGTTAGTAGATTACCTTAATCTCTGTCAAAAGAGTGAAAATAGCCCTAATAAAGCATGTCACCCGAACCATTAGAGTGCACTGAAGTACTTGTGAAACTCCGATAAAATTATTTTTCTCTAGATACTTCGTTGGATCAGATCGGTTGCGAAGAAAACGATCGAAGAATTCATTGTCTCGCATTAGACAGCAGGTACTCGAACCTCCTATGGCATCTCCATGATTCTTGATCACGATTAAAAGTTTTGTTGAGGTAATTCGAAGAGCCATGCATTGGTCGCGAGTGCTAAAAAACTTGCGCGGACGTCGGGTTGCACAGCGAATCGATGAGCGATGTCGGAAGGTCTTTCCAACGGCTTTCCTTTTCTTCAATTTCGCCTACTGGAGCTTCTATCTGGTGTTTCATTAATACTTCTTCTACTCAGTTCAGTTGCTTCCTTTTTTGACTTCAGTTCCACACATGTTTGGTATAGTACACGTGATCAACCCTAAGTTCATTTCACCACCTTTGTTTCATTGTCGCAGTTTTAAAAGTGGGCTCGGCACACATGTCTGCAAAAACTTCGCGGTCAGAATGGTCCTTGTTTATCGGTCCGAAGCCATTGCCTTTCTTTTTGGCTTCCAACATAAAATGCGTATATCTAAATTCTGCCAAATTATGAACGTGACATAGTTGTAAAGATGTTATCCACCAAAAAGGGAAAAAAGCAGGACTTTCTGTAATGGTTTTGTTATCACTTTGTTCAGTTGGTGAACACAAAATACAGGTTGAACACAACAGTCAAATAAGCGAGTGACTATGCTAAACACACATGTTTGCTTTGTGTAAAAGCCTACCTTGTTGCTATGCATTGCTATGCACTCGTAAGCTTTGGCTAAGCATTAGGTACGTAGACTACGAGACTCCTACGAGACTCTGCTCAAGCGGCAGCGCATATTCATTATTGGCTGAATCCACCTCGGGTCCCTGAAATGTATGGTTATATAATGTTGATGCCACAAAAATAAACCCAACTATGTTATAAGCTCCTGCAAGACGAAGGCGGTAGGTTCGATGTGCAACGCGGCTGCGACATGGCTGCGTCACAGCAGCGTCACAGCCGTGTCATAGCCACGTCGCACCTCGACCAACCGCCTTCGTCTTGCAGGAGCTTATATATGCATTTCTATAGTCTTCCTCACCCCACTAGTCGGTCGGTGGTCGAATTTGAATTCGAACTGGAGCAGGCCGGCCGCGGCAGAGCGCGGCAGACGTCGTCCCTTAGCCAACCGCTGGCACTGAGGCGCGGCGTCTGCCGCGCTCTGTCGCGGCCGGCCAGCTCCAGTTCGAATTCGAATTCGACCACCAACCGACTAGTGGGGTGAGGACTATACTTGGGTCCGAATTGAATAGAAATTCGATCATTCGAATAAAACATTCGAATGTATTCGTATTCGAAATTCGATATTCGTAGTTCTTATATTTTCGAATAATATTCGAAACTCGAATAATTGAGAAAACGGGGTTTCGAATAAAATTCGAAACTCGAATAATCAAAAAACAGGGTTTCGAAAATTATTCGAAAACTCGAATAATCAAAAAACGAGGTTTCGAATACTATACGAAAACTCGAATAATCAAAAGACGGGTTTTCGAATAGATTTCATTCGAATGTTTTATTCGAATGTTTATTCGAATTCGTAATCGAATGAACTCCATATTCAGATTATTTGACTTTGTTGCAGAGCCAACTGCTGAGTATCAAGCTCATTTCGTCCGCGTTGTCTTTTTTTTGCAAAACTCGGTAATGCATCTTTTGCAACCGTTATGACTTTTGAATTATATGAAGAGTCGCATTCTTCCGACTGCTCAGACAATCGCCGGGGGCAGGCGGTCCGCAAACTCGCGCTTTCTTGCAAGCGGTCAGTGAATTTTGGGGCGTGGCCAAACCTTCGGCAAGCGGTACTTCCTTTGCTGTCGCATGTTCTGTCAGCGGGCAGCAGTACAGAATTTTCTGCATGCGCTCGGCAAATAATTTCTTCCAGCAAGCGCTGGCCAAATTTTCAGCGAGCGCTCGGACTCTTTTAACGCAGTTTTGTGCATACACCGAGCAGAGATAAGACTATGTGGCAGAGGTGTTATCGATGGTTGATTACCCGAGTTTGGGGTACTTTCTCTCAGCGGAAGGTACCTACGGGCTGTGCGGTTCACAAAGGACCGTGCGGCCCCCAACAATTTTGCATATTCTCGCGGAAAGTCCGCTATAACGCGGCCACTGCGCCGCAGCTAATCTGTGAAAAAAGCGCAATTGTTCTCCGAGTTTTCGTCCAAAATTCGCCAACATTCTTCCAAATATCGCAAGCGGAGCGCAAGAAATCAGCGAACTATTTTTTCCGTGCCCGCTCGCCAATAAATCGCATGGCCGCCTGCCCCCGGCGATTATCTGAGTGCTTGCAACTTAAAAAAAATCATATATGGATTTTAGTTGATGCTTTTTTGATCAATGAGATTGTTCGCACTGCTACTGGCACCAAATCAGCAAAGAAATCAAATTCAGGCGCATGTTCCAAGTTCATATACTGAAAGTGTGTTGAAATGCCGGTTTCTCTTCCTTTGCATTGCTCATGCTCTCAGATAATCGTCGGGGGCAGGCGGCCATGCGAATTTTCAGCAAGTGGGCACCGGGAAAAAATATGATTTCTTGCGGTACGCTTGCAGAAATTTGGAATAATTTTGGCCAGTTTTTTGATGAACGCTTGGAAAACTATCGCGGTCTTTCTATGGATAATTTGCGGCCTAATGGCCGCATTCTCGCGGACTTTCCACGAGAACATGCAAAAATTGTAGGGGCCGCATGGTCCTCTGTGAAGGACCGCACTGCCCATGGTACCTACCGCTGGAAGAAGGAACCCCAAATTCGGGTAAATAAACCATCGATGACACCTCTGCTACATAGAGTCTTTTCTCTGCTCGGCGTATGCACAAAACTGCGTTAAAAGAGTCCGAGCGCTTGCTGAAAGTTTGGACAGCGCTCGCTGAAAGAAATTATTTGCTGAGCGCTCGCAAAAAATGATGTGTTGCTGCCTTCTGGCAGAATATGCGACCGTAAAGGAAGTGCCGCCCGCTGAAGGTTTGGCCACGCACCAAAATTCTGATGACCGCCTGCAGAAAAGCGCGAGTTTGCGGACCGCCTGCCCCCGGCGATTATCTGAGAGGGTGCTGATTATGAATGGATCGGCTCTAGCCGGATATGTCAGCAAGTTTGTGATATGATTACTCTAATTATTTGATAAATCATTCGAATATTTATTCGAAATTCGACTTCCAAAATTCGAATATATTCGATATTCATTCATTCGACATTTTTGATTTTCCGAATTTATTCGGAATTCATTCATTCGAGAATTTTTGAACCTCGAATTTATTCGATATTCGTTTATTCGAAATTTTTTATTTTCGAATTTATTCGATAATCGTTTATTCGAAATTTTTCTTTTTCGAATTTATTCGATATTCATTCATTCGATGAAAAATTTTCGAATTACCCAAGTATAGTGAGGACGACTATATCTCAATACTCACAATCAGTTCCAAACCTATCTACCACCTTCAAACCCTTTCTCCCAAACCAAAACTGCCCAAAAACGACTTCTATTGCTGCGACCCATCTCGAGTAGTTCGCCTTGTAGGTTGTAGTATGGAAGGGATTTGGGAAGTAAAAATAACCCACGTGCCCAGATTTGCCTAAAACATTGCCTTTGAGCGCACATTCGCCTTTCTCCGCTCTCACCTCGCCTAATTACCCCACTCACAATAGGGAAGAAAAAGTGCCAATATGTTTGACATTGTAATAGTGGCAAAAATTCAATACCTTAGGACTTTTGGCGCTCATTCCTACCATGTCTCTGCCCGATCTCTCAAAGCTCTGAAGCAAGAATATGAACGCTTACGACCATATCTAGCCTGAAAAGCTCGTTCAAACTTACATTGCTGAAAGGTTTCATGTGACGCCGAGCCCGTACTATACAATGTGCATTATCATGTCTTGCTCAGATGTACCTAGACGGATGACAGTATGCGGTTTGTTGGTGCGCTCAGGTACAACAAAGCGAGGAAGCCCTGTCACTCACATTGCGCCAATGGGTCGCAAGTTATAATCAATCAGAATTGTTACTATGGAAATTTTCGATGTTTAATTTGTTCCCAAATCTTGGTTCGTATTTAATTCATTGTTTAAGATGAAGCAAAGTTTACAATGTGTAATCATCAAACTCCAAAGTTTGAGTTCTGTTTGACTAACTGATTTATTGCATATATTGATGTGAATATCTTATCACTAATTCGGGTTTGTCTTCTACGTGCGGTCATATTGTTTATGCGATATTAGTCGAATTACTGTGTTATTGTAGTTACAATCATTTATATATGCATGTCAACTTTCTACGCTAGTTCTGTACTTTGAGAACTTGCCTATCGCGTCGATTAGCATCAAATTGTCAACAACTTTCATTTTGTTACCATCAGTCAAGAACTCGCATTCTGTTACCATCATTGAATAGAACAATACGAATTTGAATCAAATTGTTTCAGTCGTAGCTTCATTTTGTCCTCACATCCTTGTCAAGCTATCAGCTTACGGTTTAGTGTGTATTCGTTCGTAACAATAAGCTGTTGTAAAATGTATTCTCAATTTCAAAAAGCTGACGCCTTTTTTCATAAAGTAAATCTCTTGACAGTCTGCGAATTTTGTTTTCTCGTGGATGCTATGAAAACTACCTCAAAAATGAGCCAAACACTTAAAAGCAACTCCACCCAGATTCTGGACTTCCATGTTTTTATCGTTCCGGAGCCTCCTCATCTCCCTGATTCCGAGTATTAAGTCGAGGATCCGCGAAAATCCCAACACCCCGTTTCGGAGAGCCCCCAAGGCGAGTTGTGCGGAACGATGGTTGGTTAGGTGCGCTCAAATGACGTGACGTTCGTCCCGCCCACTCAAAGGGGAGGAGCCAATTGGCGAATCTGTCATCCGAGCAATTTTCGAAGCAATTTTCTCCTTCGGAAGCAACTTTTGCCAGCGCGAGTTGGATAAGTATACAGTTGGGGGACTCACTACTGTTAGGTATCAAAATCTCATCGACTCCATTTTGGGTAGATAATGCCTTTAAGAATGCGCAAGGCTGGAGTTATTGAGAATGGCGAGAACCACTACTTTCGATTTTTTCCCGATAGAGTTTGCGTTTGTGATGCAGCAGAATAATTTGGTCCTATGCTAAATTCTTCACCGATAAGCAGGCTTTGCAGAGATCCTGGTCCTTATTAAGTAAAAGTTCAATCCATCTCCTGAAAGTCTACTTCTTCCTGGATGCGTCCGGGACTCGTCACGAGATGGACAAATGTCAAGCTAGAATTCGTTTTGTATGAGCAAATAGGATATCGTAAGCATACGTTTAATGTGCACACTTTCGCGACAAGTTGGTGTACGACTGACATGCAAAAACAGAATGCTCGCCTCATCTTCGTAAGTCCAAATTTTCTTATTGAGTTGCGGAATGTCTCGGCTACAGCGCACACATATCGATATAAGTAAAAATTCAGAGTGTAAATGGAACTATTGTGCAGAGTATTGTGGAACGTTATGTTACTGAAAGTTGTGTCAAGCTTTTTTTTTTGAGAATTTCTTACTGCCACAAATGATAAAATGGCTCGTTTGCAACGCACAGATGACGATATGGCCGAAATTTATTGTCTAAGGCCCCGGTCAGACTTCACGCGATTTGATCGTCGCGACTCAATCGCCGACATTTCCATTCATTTTCATTTCACATTCAAAAATTTCGGGCTGGAAAAGTATCACAACCGAAATGCAAGTTGATCGGCATGAAATGATGTTGTAACAGTTGTCTAATGATCAAATCGCGTGAAGTCTGTCCGGGGCCTAACGCGCAGTATGACTAAGAAACATAATATGAAAGATTATGAAAAACTTACTTGAATAAAGAGTGCTTAACTTCTTCTTAAATTAAGTGGGCAACTGGGCCCACCTAATGCCCACTTAAAGTGGGCAAAACTTCCACTTCACATAAGTTCTTCAAAATTTTTACATAATTCTGTTCTACACCTTAAGTTTAATATATAGAAGTATTTTGGGCCCAAAACTTTTCCTCTCCCGTTTGTTAGGTAGTGGAATGGCAACAACTCCATTTTTTCGGAGGAAGAAAGCAACCGACATTCCCTTCGGCAGAAAGATCTCGGACCATATAAAAACGATCGGAGCTCCAAAATGAGATCATGCCAGCAAGAAAACGCCCATATATGCTTAGTCATGGTCATGGTTTCCAACGACTTATTGCTTGCATGACACTTTACATCGGCAATGATGACTCTCCTACTTCATAGTCGTTGATTATGCTTTAGTTCTTTGCTTAGGTCAATTCATTTGTCACGGTTCAATTACCCATGTTTGAGGAAATCGAGAATAAACGTATTTCGTTCATGCAGTCAGTTGCCAAGGTTGTGGGGACCTTTTCGGAATATCTTTTGGGATGAGGGGCGGGGGGGGGGGGGGGGGGGGAGAATTAAAATCCTCCAAGTTCTTAAACATTTTTTACCCTGTCATTTTCATGTAAAAATCCAGCTTTACATTGCGTGATCGAGATTTTGGAGTTTTTTAAGCACTTGCAAGAGTCCAATTTTGATTGAACTATTCTTTTGAATACATCATAATATGGTGATACGAATTTTTTCGGAGGCTTTGCCCTTGAGCCCGCAAAAAAATCCTCTTGCTCCTCAACACCGAAACGACATACAGCCTGCAAGCCACCTATCCCGAGCCCTGAGCGCATAGTGGGCATGTTCAACGGTCATATATTTTAACTAGCTGGCTTGCCCGGCTCCGCCGGGCCTGCCAGCTAGACCCGTGTACGTATGTTCCGAATAGAAATTTTTATCTCTGAACCGATTGGGACCGAACTTTGCACACATACACTTCGGGGCAGGGAGCGTGTCACAGCCCACTTTTCGTTATCGATCGATGTCGATTTTACCGATTTTTTGCAAAATTTGAGCTAGGGGGCTAGGATTTTGCACAGGGGGGTAATCGAGCCCGAAGGGGTGATCAGCATGCTCGATTACCCCCCTGTGCAAAATCCTAGCCCCCTAGCTCAAATTTTGCAAAAAATCGGTAAAATCGACATCGATCGATAACGAAAAGTAGCCTATGACACGCTCCCTGCCCTGAAGTATATGTGTGCCAAGTTTGGTCCCGATCGGTTCAGAAATAAAAATTTGTATTCGGAACATACGTACATACATACAGACAGACATACAGACAGACAGACAAACAGACATTCAGCTTTATATATAAGATTAGATAGCGCCAGAGTTTCCCGCTGCAATTTATGTAAGCTCACGGAATACACCATACTCCAAAATTATCCAGTCCCTTGGTGCCATCTTGGAAGATGACTAATCTGGGAAAAAGTAATACGTCACAAACGTTTACGATAACCAATAATTTATGATACTTCAAGTTCGGTGTCATGTGCTTGTCTCTGCGCTGTAAGCAAGCCAACTATTGTATCTCAACCTTGCATTGGAATAGTGCGCGCTTGAGGAAACAACAGATGTAGTATTGAAGGCACCGCCCACTCTAATTGGGTAATGAGATTTTGATATCATGCAAAGGAGGGGCCCCAACTAGCCGTCGCTCAAGCCTCGCTGAAAAAGATTGTTTTCGAAGCGGGAAAATTGTTCCAGAACTCCACATCTGCTCTTCCATTAACGTGGATGATCGAAAGATAAAAAGTCCGGCTCGGGCTTCACTGTTGTCAAAATTTTCATTGTCATAAAATCGCTCTTAATTATACTTATCAAATTTTCCACATTTCTACCGACTCTGAAGTCCGACTTTGAATGTTTTTCTCAGACCACCCACGTTGATGGACGGGACCCAGGTGGCGCTTCTACCTTCTGGTTTCCTCGCTTCGAATTTCGTTTGCAGGAAAACTTGGGCGATGGCTTGGTTAGGGCCTATATATACAACATTCTCATTATCCTTAATTTGGTTGGAACGTATTTAAGGGCTAGGCATACATCACGTGATTTCATCGCCTCAAAATTCCACCCGACAAGACAACTGTCACAACTTCATTGCATGCCGATCATCTTGCGGTTGTGATAGTTTTCCGACTCAATCAATTGCCGAAGATGTTTTTAGCTCAGGGATTCGCGTCGTGCGGGCGGTCACCGACAACCATAATGTCGACTCCCCAACTGTGGCGAGGCGGATCCATGATGATCAACAAAGATCAATGGAGTACGCCTCAGCACAGGGCAACCGCAACGCAAGAGCCGCTAACGCAGCTCCACCTCGCCAAAGTTGAGAAGCCGCTCTTACAATCGCTCGTTAGTGTGCGCGATTGTACGGTCGTCAAGAGCCAACCGCACGGCCAAGATGAGGTGGACGCACAGTTACAAATGCCTGGCTCATGTGCGGAGAAGGTCAGCCGCTCGAGCGGTCCTGCCGATGGGATGCTGGGTAGGGTACTGTGACCAATTTTCTAAATTTTTATCCTCGTACATGCTCTCACAATCGGTAATGCGGAATGGTCGCTGTTGCGACATGGGTTTAAACGAAACAAGCCCAACCTTCAATGATTATTTTCACTAACCTCCAGAAGCTTTCATTTGAGCATTCTCAGTCAAGATATCAGGAATTGATGCTAATTTGGACTATTAACGCAAAGGCAGCCTGATTATGCGTGGTATCTCATGCAGATATCGTTTGCGCTCATAACGTGTGAATGTTGTGATGGAGATATAAAATGTCTATCTGGGACAACAAGTAGTATTGTCGGCCGATGGGACAAGAACATTGCTGGCCGCCCGCCTGGGCAAATGTATTGCCGGCCGGGCACAAGCTAACATTGCTTGCCGATTGCCATTTTCAGTGTAAGGTGCAGGCAGACAGGGGCATACTTCCCTCGTCGAAATCGTCACGATTTAGACGAAACTCAGCGGTATTGCATCGCTGACTGCGAACGAGCGATGCCACCATATCGCTGAGATTAAACTTTTTTTTAGAAGTTTTTGTGATTGTTTCTTATATTTTAGTGTTGTTTTCTTGTCAAATATTTCAAAAACTAGTTTAATTTTTCCAGTTTGCGTTGTTTCTCCGTGACTCGATGTCGTATTCATGTTCGTCTATTCGGTTCGATTTGCTGTATGGTCAATAAAAAGCTATGCGATCAATTACCGAAATCGCGGATTTGCTGAAATTCGGCATACGGGCGTCATTCAAAATGCTAATCAAGAATATCATATCGGGAATAACATATCGGAAATCAAGAATATTGGGCGTCCTTTTCCTCTTTTACCCCCTTCTGATTCATTCTTTATGTAGACATTTGCTGCATGTGGACTTTTCTGAGAACCCCGCTTTTATTGATGTTTTTCCAAAAAAGCATTCTAACCTTGTACGACGTATTTGGGTTTTTCTGTAATAATTTCTTTTACTGCCTCAGTATGGAAATTGTTTAGGCATGAGCTGCGATCGGTGCGGTGCACTATGGGTTGTTTTTTGCTTCCAAATATCATACAGTGCACTTCATACTTGCTTTATGTCGAAGTCTCATCTCTCCGCCGCAACGCAGGCAGAAAATGTTTTCTAGTGGTTCGTTTAGCACGATTCATCACAAACCTCAATCTATACTTGTTTGGAGACCAGCTCATAAACAAAAATATGTAACGAAAATTACGTCAGCTTATTAGACTACTTATTACGCCTCTAAACTAGACTTTAGATTACAACAACTTTTCTAAGTAGGGCCTCATTTTAATATAACAGAATGCAAGCTTCTATGCATAGCATGAAATATAATATTTACTCTAATCGCGACAGCTCCGTCATTTATCAGGTCGTTTCATCTTATATATAAAGCTGAATGTCTGTTTGTGTGTCTGTCTGTATGTGTGTACGTAGGTTCCGAATAGAAAATTCCATTTCTCAACCGATCCGGACCAAATTTGGCACACATACACTTCGGAGCGGGGCGGGTGTGATAGGCTACTTTTCGTCATCGATTATCGATTTTATCGATTTTTATCGAATTTTTGCAGAGTTCACCTACGGGGCTGGGAGTTGGCACAGGGGGTAATCGAGCAAGCTGATTACGAATATAAAATTAGTTTTTAGGCTCCCGCCAGAGTGCCGAAGTTATGCCAGCGTTACGCCAGCGTTTCGATCGATACACGTGTATTTCGTTGGGGCGGGGCTAGCTCAGCAGGTAGATGTTCCCAACGAAATACACGTGTATCGATCGAAATGCTGGCGTAGCGCTGGCATAACTTCGGCACTCTGGCGGGAGCCTTGGGACTATCCATTAGTTTTATCGTTTTTATCGATTTTTAGGTTTGATTTGCGGGCTGGAAGTTGGAACTGGGGGGGGGGGGGTAATCGAGCATGCTGATTACGAATACAATATTAGTTCTTAGAATTACCCGCTACTTTTATCGATTTTATCGATTTTTTTGCAAAGTTTGAGCTACAGGGCTGGGAGTTGGCACAGGGGGGGGGGTATGTGAGCATGGCGATTTCGAATACAATATTAATTTTTGGACTTATTACTTTTATCGATGTTATCGATTTTTTCAAAATTTGAGCTGAAGGGCTGGGAGTTGGCACAGGGGGGGGAGTGCGCATGCTGATTTCGAAAACAACATAGGGAACGGGTAATGAAGTGTAGAAGTGGGCACAGAAAAAGGCTGTACAGGGATAGGAATGGGACCTTTGTTACAGTGTTTTGACAGAGCCGAGCGGAGCCGGGTAAGCAAGCTAGTAAGCTCATAAAGTTTTCATTCTGGTTCTCATCTTCTAGGGCGTGCTTTAAATGCAGCAGTGCGTATATCATTGAGAAGAACTTATCATACTCTTCAAAAAGACATATCAACTTGGACGGAAAACTGACCTACTTCGATGTTTTAGCTTTCAAAGATGGAATTTTCAATAGAACAAAAAGAAGCTTTTTTGGCAGCTATTCATATTGTCTCATATAAACAAGCGTTTGTGCATAGGTTTTTGGCCGATTATAGAAATTAGCTCTTGTGAATATGACAGCATAAGGATTGAATCCCCTTCCCCCTTTGAGGTTATAGTAGATAAACGGTAGGAAGTCAAAATCATAAATTTGTCTGGAATTTACTCTGAAGATGTTACCTGGCTTGCTAATCATGAAAATCATATTTTCTTCGCGTGGTGGGATTCTCTTCATGGACACGGTAGGTATACTGTATGGGACCAAAATGAGGGGGGGGGGGGTATTTGGCAAGCTGAAAATGAACATCGCGTTGATCTCGTAAGGTAGTTCCATTTTCTTGAACTACGACGGATGAAGGGAATGAACGAAACAGAGTGAAAGACACATGTAATTTTGTCTTTTATTAGAGAAGGCAAGAAACGCGAAGCCAAGGATCCATCTAGCTAATGCATTCAACTTGAGCATATGTACAATCACAATCAAAAGGGCTTCCCTCCTGCTAGAATTATTCAATAACAAGTTGGGTCTCTTCTGATACTCCATACTTTGTTTTATGTTGATTGAAAAGTTCAATGAGTGCTTCACAATACTGTTTGTGAACGCGGTCCACATCTTCCTTTACCGGTTCACTTTCTTGAGTCACAGCTATTGGTGCACCGACAACAGTATCAATCGGACGACTGTGCGGAAGAAAGCCAAAGTTCAGCTGAAACTAACGAAACTTTATCTGCGGATAAATTCGGCCAGAATGTACCTACCTGAAATAATCCTCTGCCATAGAAAAGTGGTAATGATATGCCAGTTAGTTTTTTCCACCATGTTTGGAAAGTACGAATGCGAGATCCTTTAGGATTATCTACCTAAAAAGATAGCAACTCGAGCATCACTGCCATAAAAATAACGGCATAAATGTAAAAGCAGTGTCTCCATTATGTCTTTAAGAAGTATTTCAGTATACTTCAGCCATTTTGTGGCGAAAGAGGAACGCTAGATAATCTTCAATTCAATTGGATTGGTGGCTGGAAGGCGGGCTTTGTGACCTAATTAAGGCCGCTCGCGCCCGCGACGCAGTCTGCGTCTGTCTCGTGTGCGTGCTCTCTGATCAATCTCCAGTTAACCTGTATGAAGCCCCCCTTAGAGCTGCCAATCGAGTTTAATCAAATTATACAAGGCAATGATTTTTAAGTACCATATTCTACAGTCGTTCTTGCAACTTCATAGATGAAGTATGCAGCGGAAGAACCGATTGAGGTAACACAGTTTGCTAGTCGTCACTGTAAGGTTACAGTACGTATAACTTAGCGCGAAGGAACTCTAAAACTGCATTTCGACAAAATTAGTTCCCATGTAAGCACCGATTGGGACATACTGCACACTTTTAGCTAAAGAAAATCAATACCTAAAATCCCGCCAATAAGTCCGGACTTATCTGCAAAAAAGCGGACTTATGTGCGGGACTTTTGGCGGCGCGAGGGTGCATTTCCTTGGAAAAAACGGACTTATCTGGGAGGCGGACATATCTGAGAGGCGGACTTATTGTAGGGATTTTAAGGTATCTACAAAATCAAGGTAAAAATAAGCATTATCAATGTTTTGTGTGTAAGTTCAGGCGAAAATTCTTAAGCATAGGACTTTGTCCAAACCAGATCTCCCACTATAAACGTTACGACCCCCCCCCCCCCCCAAATGCTCCATTTTATAGTGCGAATAGTTTCTATAGATCAAGTTTAATCAACAAAAACAACGAGTTAATTGAAAGGTGATAGACTCCGCCCTCACTGATCCTAGGCTCCTCCCTCTTACTTGAATATCAGCTAAAGTCGGGGGAGAGAATACAGCTGCATATTTTCGCACATGTACCGTCTGCGCCCCAGAGAGGTTCCCATGTGAACCAGCGTGCGTACATGGTACGACGCTGCCTTTCGCTCTTTTTGACACGTTTCTCCTGAGATTTCAACGGAAGTGCCCGAGGTTAACACGTTCAAAAGTGCGAAAGGCAGCGAGATGACGTGGTATCTATGGGAATCTCTCTGGGGCGCAGACGATACATGCATTAGATTTCGAAATATAGCAGATTTACTCGGAAGTCCAAGAAATTTCAAGCCAACCTAATACGTTCAACTCATGGTGTTTTCGCAAGCTAGCTGCGATTTCAGAAAGTTTCTCAAACACCTGTAATTTTTTGTTGTGGTGTTTTTAGAGGCGTTGTTTCCAGCAAATGGTCTCATAAAATTTTTAAAGCAATTGGAAGATGTGATTAGGTTAGCAAAGAATTTCGGAAACATGCTCCTTTGATATGCTTGGGGCAAAAAAATATGTATGGTACGGTATGTAAAACAGAGCTAGAGACCTGCAGCACTTTCTCACGAGAAATGGGAGCAAGAAATCCACCCAGTCTAAAGACTACTGCAGGACGAAGGCGCCGAAACAGTATAAATTAAGCGGGGCGAAGAAAGCGAAGCACGCGTATCTTCACCGTTACATGCCCTGCATCTCGTGCGCTCTGCGGCTAAGAACCGCGTTCGCACCCAAGGTAATTGCGCCTCGTCATACGGTAACCTATAACTCACCTGCTCAAAGATATCGTTTTCTCCAAAAGAGTACACAGGTACTAGAGAGGCACCTGCTCGAATAGCTTCTTTAACGAATCCCTTCCGATTTAAGAGTGTCAGTATGTGCTTTCTAGGATGAGCATCCAGTGCCTCTTCAGCACCTCCTAAATTGACCATTGCAATTGAGCAGTAAACACTTGCAATTATTGGCAAGAAACTAAAGAATACACTCACCAACTACTATCACCACAGCTTTGCCTTTGCGCTTCTGGGAAAGCACATTCCTGATACTTTCCTTGGAGCAATCGATGAAGCCAGAAAGCATAAGCAGTTCTCTCCTAATTAAAGCATAAAACTGAATTACGATAGTATTGCCTCAGAAATAAAAACCTACCTGATCATAATGTGGAAATTGCAAGCAAGTGTGCAGACCAAAAATTGTAGCCCGGGAAACTAATATGAAATTCTTAGTAAGTGACATCTTCTAGGGAATCAGTCTGGACCCACCACTTTGCTTTTGTCGGTGCCTTCTGTTGCAAAATTGGCAAACACTCCCATTCCAATGATGCCGTGAGGGTGGCAAGCAAAGATGTAGTTCTAAAAAACTGTTACTTATCATTATATAGTCAGTCTATGCGGACTAACCTGGTCGGGTGGTAAGTCGACGGTCTTGTGCAAGGATACAGGAAAATACTCCGCAAACCACTTGTTCATGGGCCAACTAAAATTATGCAAAGCTAAAACTTCCGTAGAATGTTTCAGCGCAAAATAAAATAAATGTACTTTTTATAGTCGCAACGATTACTACCTAATCATTGTTCCCCAGAAAAGTCCCCATAGGCACCATCAATTGCACGGCCAACTGTCTTTCAATTGTTTGCTTGAAGTAATTCATTATCAGACAATTCACCAGAACTTCCGCAGGGTAAACGAAATTTGCAACGGTTCCGCAAGATCTTGTTTACTATTGCAAAATTGGAGAAGTTGAAATTGAAAACTTCCGCTGGATTTTCACGTCAGACTGGTTGAAAACGGGAACTTCTCAGACAATCGACCGGACCCCTCCGCCGGACAGTCCGAATCTGCCAGAGTCGCGCCGGACCCAGTTGACCAATGAGAGAGGGGCAAATGGGCGGTCCGTCGCGGTGACATCACTGGCAGGCAAGTGGGAGGCTTCTCCGGCCCTGCTGCAAAGGTACGCCATTTCTCCGGCGCGACTCTGCCAGATTTGGCGAACTCGCGCCGGAGAAATTTGCCCGGCGCGAGTCCGCCAGATTTGGAAGAGCCGCGCCGGAGAAAATCGGAGGGGTCCGGAGCAGAAATGGGAGGTCTCCGGAGCAGAAATGGGAGGTCTCCGGAGCAGAAAATGGGAGGTATCCGGAGCAGAAATGGGAGGTATCCGGAGCAGAAAATGGGAGGTCTCCGGAGCAGAAAATGGGAGGTATCCGGAGCAGAAATGGGAGGTCTCCGGAGCAGAAAATGGGAGGTATCCGGAGCAGAAATGGGAGGTCTCCGCCGGAGAAATGGGAGACCCACCGCTGGGGAAACGCCGCGACCCTGCCATTTCTCCGGCGGAGGGGTCCTATCCGCTGCCTGAGTTCGGCAGGACTTGCTACAAAACGCGAATTCCGAAAAATGTCAGTGGTTCCGCAGCACTTTGATCAGCCATTACTTCCGCAGGTTTTTCTAATGTGTTGCTTCTTACAATGTTGCCTCGCCAACACTAGAGCGCATTGCTAAACATGTAATCCGTAGTGCGGATCGTAAGTGAGTCTTACAATTGGTAAAGAATAGTTCGAACCCCGCTTAGGTGTTCTGTTGTGCTGTTGTGTTTCGCATTCTTCGAAACTTCCGCAACACAAAATTTGGGGACTTCCGCAGGAGGCCGACGGAACTTTCTTAAACGTTTTGCGGAAGTTCCAGCCGGTTGTCTGAGAAGCGCTTTATTATCTGCTGGTTAACGTATCAAAGGGATCGAAAGGCAGTGAGCTGAAGTTGCGAGTGGTGGTATGTGCCCATGGGAACCTTGTTGGAGCACAGACGATACCTCTGCACCCATTTACTTGGGTAACCGCCGTTTCGTGGGGATTTTCTGTCGTATATGTACCACAATGAGTAGATGAGGAGTATGTGCCATTGCAATGTGATGGCCTGCAATTTTTAGATTAGTGGATAGCATCTGACTCCTTATTATTGCCCTTTTGTTGTAATTATTAGGTTGGCTAATAAATAAGTTCGGTTTGACATGCAATTTCGAAATTCCATAACAATTCGAGTAGCAGCTAATTAGCACGGATCTTTTTGCTAGAAGGTAGCTCTAAGCCTCTACTCTCATATATCAAGTAGTCAAAATCTTCTGTCCCGAAAAATGACAGTTATGCACTTGTATGGTCAGACCTCTAGAAAATCGTTTTTTTTTTGACTTTCTGAGCTTCGTTCTCAGTCTTTAGTAAAAGCACAGGTGACTTATCTGGTGATCAAATATGCACAACCTTTGGCTACATAGCGAACAACAATGGAGATCGTGATGTGATGTGTGTGTACTTCTGCAGCCAAAAATATGGGAATTTCCAGGGGTTTGCGCGTGGAAGTTAGTTTTTGGGCAATTTTCAGATCTTGCTGTGTGGATGCCAGCTGTGCATTTTACATCCAACTTCCGCTCTTTTTTCGGAGCGTGATTTTCGAAAATTCGATGAGAAAATCTAACTATTCCACTTTCCTGCACAATTTCGTTGCCAAAATGACATCTAACACTCGAATAGAGTTGACATCCAATTCTCCTTGATTTGCTCTTTCCAGTGGTACCAAGCATTCTCACGCAAATCAATTTGTAAATTTTCTATAAATAGTTAAAAACAGCCAAACTTATTTTTCAGCCAACCCAATAATTAGAGTAGAAAACAAGTTTTTCTTTTATAAAAACTCTTTGTCGCTTGAGACTGACTGTTAACATAGTCGTCGAACTCCACCGGAGTTCACCCAAGTGCCTCACCCATATCTTCAAAGTGGATGAATTCTAAATCCAAGGGCGCCCTTGGATTGAGAATTCTCTCAGCGGGATGCATCTTCTGATGATAGAAGTGCCCGTTTCGATACGCTGATTAGGCTTAGATTCTAAAATTTTTTGCTTTCCGTAGCTTACTCAGTGTGCAAGGAATAAGCTGTGGTACCTATCGAAAGCGAAAACTTAACTTCTCGGGAAATCTGATCTTTTAAAGGCATTGTCCAGGTCAATAAATAGGAGGGTAGTGGAATTTTGACGCACTGCGCGAGCATGGCTCCTGACTAATGCAACAGTTCAGGTGCGATCGAAAAAGGTGGATTCTTAAAGGCACCGTCCACCCAGAATTTCGACCTCCATGCTTTTGCCGTTCCAGGGCCTTCTCATACCCCTGATTAAGAATATCAAGTCGGATATCCGCGAAAACCACAAAAAACCCCGTTTTTAGAACCCGCAGGGCGATTTCTTGGGAACGGTGATTGGTTGGGCGCGCACGGATGGGCGGGTCGAACGTCACGCCCACCCGAAAGGGGAGGAGCCAACGTCGCGATCCGTCACCTGAAGCAACTTTCCCGCTTCAAAAGCAATTTTAGGCAGCGCGAGTTGAGCAATCATACAGTAGGGGGCCCCGCGGCTGCTAGGTATCATAATCTCACCAACCCCAATTTGGGTGGACGGTACCTTTAAAGGCAGCGTACACCCAAAATTTGAGTTACCTAATTTTCTAGATCTTTCTATACCATGTATATACTGGGCCCAGAAGAAGACCAAGTGCGTTGGTCCGGTCTCCCAATGTTGCTTTTGAGCGGAGAAAACCCCCCTCAATTTTCTTTCACTCCGCCTCCTCCGGACGAAACCACGACAGCGTAAGCTGCAGTTGCATTGCAGTTGCGGTTGCAACTGCAGTTGCAGATGCAACAGCAGTTGCAGCAGTGCAGTTGCTTTTTGCAGTGTGCCTCCTTCGGGAGACGAACCACGACAGCATATGCAACAGTTGCAGTTGCAACTGCAGGCTGTCATGCTGTTGCAGTTGCTGGCATGCCGGCGGCGACGAGCAGTTTGAAACTCGTCCGCCCCTGAAGAGAGGGTCCCTGGAAATAGGGGTTTTTTTGAAACTTTTGAAGAATTTTAATGTCATAACTGTAACCAGGGGGCACGGAAAGGCCCCAGAATGACAAAAACATCGAAGGCGAAATTTTGGGGTACGCTGCCTTCAAACGAGAAAACCGCTTCGGAAAAAAGTGGCGGTATGTTAATCCCGTCTCCTTGACAAGTTTTGACATGGCGGCTGTAAATCTAATGTATAACCACGTCAAAACTCGTCAAGTTAGATCTACAGCTGCCATGTCAAAACTTGTCAAGCAGGCGGGATTAAAATGTACCGCCCCTTTTTTTCGAATCGAATTTTTCGCTTCAGAATCCACCTTTTCGATCAAACTTGAACTCTTGCATTAGCCAGAAGCCGTGCTCCCGCACTGCGGCAATATCCCACTAGCCCCAGTTGACCTGAATAATGCAAACGTGCAACTACAGTATTCAAACGGAACTTTTCCTTATCTGAAGGAGGCGCCCCGCCGAGCTGAGTCAAACAAGTTCTTGAAATTCGAGCGCCTACTCTGACCAAGATATAGCGATGCGACGCGTTTCTGTGCGCTCCGGTGGATTTTGGTGTTTCTTCTAAAATATGAGCGGTATTATGCGACCCTCATGACCCTCTTTGTTCACTCTTCTAAAGCAAAAAAAATATTCTTACCAAAATGAGTGGTAGGATTAGGTTGATGAAAGTAAGTGGAAAAGTGATCACAATATTCATAATAACTCCAAGAGTAACTATTTGTCGATCCCATGGTTCTGCTAAGGGTGAAAAATCGATACCAAGAATTCGTTTCATTCTGGAACGAAATAATTATCGCGTATGAGAATGCTACAGTGCACAAACGATAAGTAGAAAATTTTGGTGATGAGCGTGAAATTACTGGCAGAGTATGAAAAGCTGGATAAATACATAGATTCAGGTAAACGGCCTGGTGGCTTGTTTGTTATCATCACTGACGCGAGGAAGTCAGCCGTAGCCTTCGATTCAAACTGTCATGGCGGCTAGAAGGCGGGTTTCGTGACCTAATCAAGGCTAGATAGTGATCAGAGAGCATGCGCACGAGAGAGCCGCAGACTGTAGCGGGAGCGAGCGACTTTAATTAGGTCACAAAGCCCCGTCTCCCAGCCGGCAAGTCAGTTGAATCAAAGGTTTATGTTATCGTAACATAAGCTTTGTTATACTTTCGAAAAATCCTCATAACTGCTTCAAATTATTTTTTCTCATCTTCAAAATGCTTGGGTAAATTGTTATGGCATGCATGTCACACATAAGAGTAGGTTTTTGAATTTTTTGAAAAATTTCCGAATTATTTGCACATTTCTAACTCTCGCTATTGAAAAACTTAAATTTTTGCACTACCTCTTGTTAGCACCCTGTATTCCATAAAAAGTCTAAAAATGTAAAAAAGAAGCATGAGAAAAATTTTTGGAAAAAGAGAAAGTAATGGAGTCTGAATTGCAGTTACTAAGTCTTTATATTTACAATAACAATGGCCTGCAAAGGCGAAAATTCCGTCAATGGATAGCCCTCTTTCTCTCCCTCATATAAGCCACACATGGGACCAGGGCTGCGAGGTGGCTTCTGGAAAATGCAATAAAAGTTCCCCTTGACTTTCGCGATTCTTAACGAAGTCCCCTTTAAACCTAACCCTAAACCAAAAAAAAACCTAAAAAACGAAATTTCGAGCAAAAAAGTCACAATTTGTGTGTCTTTTCGGCTTCAAAAACGATATCCGCATTGCTTTTTGCCCTAAAAACGATATCCAGCTCGCTTGCAAGCCATCTGTGCCGAGCTCTGATGGGACATTGCTGAAGTTTCCACAGTTTATTAGAAAACGACGAAAACAATAGAAGTTATGTTACAAACTAATATTCAGATGGGAACTTCTTCGAAGGAGGAAGAAAGAGGACGGCTGAACAGAGTCGTCAGAACCGCAGTTCTTGAGCTAAGGAACAAAACACTATTTGGCCGTAGCTAAACGCTGTGCTGAAAAAGGTTCGGTTTCAAACAAGAAAATGAGACAGCAGTACGAAATCGTCTTGGAATCGAAATCTTAAATGTTGAGCAAATCAAATCAATGCTGGCAGGCGGCTACTAGACAGAAACACACGAGAACTCGCACTTTATATCACTACTGAGTCAGTAGTGATAGGTCAGTAGGTCAGTAGTACTGACCTATTGTGAGTACAATGATCAGGGTCTAGTCGTTGCACTTTGATTGTTTTGATCTGTCTAGGTGACTCTTTGAGATTTCAAAGAGCGGAAAATCGATTATCCAGCATTGATTTTACAAAGCAAATGAGCGTTTGATGGTTTGTAAAGCAATCTTCGACGTTTTGAATACAGCTCTGGGCGCGATCTAAATCAAAGCTCTTAATGATTCGATCCGCAAGACTTTGGGAATCAGAAAGGGGAAATCATGTTTTAGGAAAAGGAGAAAAAACTGTATCGAATGTTACCCGAATTATACTTTCTGATCAGGGCTTGGCACAGCCACAGCTGGCATCGGATCAAGCTGGATATAGTTTTGGGACAAGAAGCAAAGGGTATACCGTTTATGCGGCTGAAAAGACAAAAAATTGCGACGCTTTTTTAGTCGACGTTTCGTTTTTTTTTAGGTTTTTTACGTTTATTGTTAGAGTCAAAGGGGGCTTTGTGCGAAATTTTCAAAAAGGGACTCCGTTTTCAATTTTCCCTGGCGCCAGCTCGTGCGAAGCCCTGCTTCTGACGCTTTTCAAGGAATGAATTGACCAACTATGAAATATACCTTTAAATTATTCCCAGCAACTCCAAAAAAGCCAGGTGAATGTTCCAAAATATCCATAAAATCGCATTTCGTAATCTATCTACCTGTAATAGAAGCTTTTTCGAAGTACGAAATGAAAAAATTGCCATATTTAGACATGATAAAAAATATTAGGATTCCGAAAGTAATTTCGCTTTTTTTGAACAGACAAAACAGACCACTTGTGATGGAATAAGATTTTCCGAGAGATCTTGGTAGCGTTCGGAAGTATTTCCGAAGTACGAAATGAAAAAATTGCCATATTTAGACATGATAAAAAATATTAGGATTCCGAAAGTAATTTCGCTTTTTTTGAACAGACAAAACAGACCACTTGTGATGGAATAAGATTTTCCGAGAGATCTTGGTAGCGTTCGGTACAAAATTTCATTCTCTTTCTAAATCTTATAAAATCATTGTAGCCCAATCAATGAGCTCTCGAATCCTCAAAATTTGCGACCCATGCTTTTTGCTACGGTCAACTTTAGCTGTTTTTCAAAATCTTTATATCAATCCTCTAAAGGAGCTCAAGTAGCGAGAGGATAGAGCAAACCCTACAGGATACAAAACAATTTTTTTCTCCTTTATATAGCTCCTCAAAATCTTTTGATAGAATTTTGATTGATGCTACCAATTTCCATTCTTGGTCAACTCAAACGTCGTAAAACATCAAACTCTCAACAGCTCGAGTGTCATTCGATGCAGCTTGTTCTCCTCTTTCTCATGGATTTTTTTGCTTACCTTTGTGCAGTTTTCGCGTACAAAATCATCATAATTCATATTTCCGGGCTGTGCCAGGGAAAATCGAAATTAGATATTTCGATTCCGTAAAGTCGCACTCGCTTTGTAAAACTAGTGTCAAATCATAATACTATCTTGGAAGTTTCAAATTCCGAAGATTTATTGGTGTTTCATGCGAATGTGGTTGACGTAGGCCTGTCAGAATTCGATGGTTTTAATAATAAATCTTTTAAAAAATTATGCGAGACATAAAAACGAGAAAAAAAGCTATGCCATATCCTATGAGGTTTGCCCTATCGAATCGTTACTTGGACTTCTTCGGGAGATTGATGTAAAAATTTAGAAAAATTGTGAAACTTGAGCATCTCAAAAAGCATGGATCACAGACTTTCGTAATTTTTCAAAAGCTCATTCATTGTGCCTGCAATGATATTATAACTATTAGAAAGAGGGTGAAATTCTGCATTAAATGCTGCCAATAGCTCTTAGATATCTTTGTTTTCCACATGTGGCGTGCGTTTGAAAAAAGCGAAATTGCTTTCGGAATGACCTAATATATGGGTTGAAAATTTTGCCGATTACTTCAATGAACACAAAAGTAGCAAAGGATCATGACTGCTAAAAAGAAGAGCTGCGCCAAATAGTGTCCAAAACGTTTGCATATTTTTATTCTACTCATGATAGGTTAAAAAAAAAACAAAAGGAATTTCCATGACGACTCAATAAACGCGTGAGAGAATAAGAGATCTTTAGAGTTTGAAAGTGGAGGAAATATTACACATGCAATATACTTTCAATAAGACAAGGGTATGGATAGAATTTTTCAAGCACTCGAAACTTTTTGAATCTTGGCTTCACTTTAGACGGCTGTAGAGGTCGAAACTCCCTTTTCCAGCTTGCTTTGCTCTTTTGAAAGGTACTCTGAGACCTACTCAGTAGATAAGAGTGTGTGATGTGACTTATTGACGCTAAAAGATCAAGAATGAAGAGAAACTCATAAGACAGCTATTAGGTCGATGGTTGCTTTCCAACAAAGCAACTTTTTGTACCTCTTCATATAGGTCAAAATTCCTTCCTCCTATATGGTTAACGTTATACCACGTGATAGAGCAAAGTAAGTTTGCTCCAGAAGGTTCAAACATTCGCACCAACTGTGACACATACTACTAAATTTGAGCGCAAAAATTAAGAAGATAAAAATGTGCGAGAACGCGTGAAATCTGATCCAGTCTGAAGGAACACGATTTTCTACTTACTCATGCATATATACTCTACATATAAAACATTCACATATACAGTTCCTGTTTTTTCCTCTGGCAGAAATCAGCGCGAGAACGTTTATGCCTTTGCCGAAGCAATGCTGAGCTATTTCCACGCTAGTAATTGTATGCTACAACTTCAAAAATATGGTATATTCCCAGCCTTCTACGATAGCTAATTTTCGATAAATATCGACTTTGGCATAACAAAGGTCTAATCGAAATTCAAAATTTATCAAACGCTGAACGTTAGCGCATGTATTCGTTCGTAGAAGTTCGTGGAGATTCATAATTCAAAGGAATGCTAAAATTTTGCCGTCTATTTAATTAACAATGTACGTTCCGTTGTTGCGCGCAACCTTCTGCCACCTTGCGTCAGATTTTCTATTCAGTCGCTTAACAAACCTCAGAGATTGTCTTCAAAATCAGAGCAAGCGCCGTTGACATGAACTGTGAGAGGAAGAACAAATGAAAATTCGCTGGAGTGAGGTGCAAGAAGTACAATGAATACTAATGTACCTCTCGATCTAATCTTGCAGGACAGCTTCGAAGACCTTTGATGCACCATGCTTTTCCATGCAGAAAAACTACTGAACCTGTATATTAGACTTTTCCTGCAGAGCAGCTCGTTCAGACGGTGCCATTGGATTGCGAGCCTTATGGCTGAACGTTTTTTTGTCCGTCATTTTCCAGTGCAGGACGTCCTGCCGTCCTACAAAATGTCTCATTCCAGGACAAATTCTTTGCCTCCTAAGATAAACCAATCCTTTCTTATCTTTATTAATTTGCAAACGCCACTTTTCATAGTCGGCATTGAATCCGTACAAAAGTCGCTTACTTTTATAAGCGAAAGGGGGGGGGCTGTCGAAGACGCTGTTTTCTTTTCAAAAATTCCTTTGCAAGCTAGGTCAAAGTACAACAGCTTTTCTTAAAATGCAGGATATCCTAAAAAATGTGAACACTGTTTGATCGTTAATAACTCGGTTGCTTTCATGTCTTTCGTCGAGCTT